ACCTCTTTAAATAGATTTTTAGTTTAAGCTAATTAAAACAATAATATAAATTTTTTTTTTATTATTTTAGTTTATTTACTAAGCTTTAAACTTAGCTTTTTATTTAATATAGGCTTTTATAAACTATTAATATATATTATAAATTATTAAAAAGTTTTATTTTAGTATTATATATAATTTACTATAAAAATTGAAAAAATTTATTAAGATATCTATTATTTTATTATATTTAAACTTACTACTATTAATAAAAAAAATAAAGTTAAATATATTTTACTCCTATTTAAAATTCTATAGCTATATTCTATAAATATTTTTTTATTTATATAAAAGTTATTTATAATAATAAGCGATTTTTTTAAAAAAAAACCTTATAAAATAAAAAGTCTTAAAATAGTTTTTTATTATAATTATAATCTATTTATATATTTTTAATTTACTATAACTATACCTAGTAACTTATTTAGTTTTATCTTAGTTATTAAAAAGCTTAATTCTAATAATAGTAATACTAATTCTAAATTAAAAAATAATAGAAATAATAATATAAATAATATATTAAATCCGGTTTTTTACTAAATCCTTAGTAAAATTCTAAATTATTTAATTTAAATAAAATTTTATTTATTTATAGTTTTACTAGCGCTAGCAATATAATTTTTATTTTAATTTCATTTTACTTTAAAACTGTTTTACTAGAACTTATTTCTATTTTTAAACTAGGTTAGTTTATTGTATATTTTAATATATTGGGAACCCTTTAATATTAAAGTAATTTTATAAAATTTTTTCTATTTAAAAAAATAGTTTAATTAAAAAAATAAAATAGGATTTTATACTAATATAATTAGAGAAATAGGCTAAAACTAAGCGTTTTAATAAAATTATTAGCTTTCTAGTTCCGATTTATAAAAATTAAATCTAAATACTTTAGCTTTTATATTAATATTAATACCTAAATAAAAAAAACTTTACTAATTTACTTTATACTAATTTTATTATTTATTATATTAGAATTATTTTTAAAATAAAACTATTTACTATTTAGTGTTAGCGTTGTTAGCTTTTTTATATTTAGAACTAAATATATTAAATTATATTTTAAAATTTATATAGTAATATTTATAAATTAATAAAACCTACAATTAGTTGGCTTTTAAAATAAAATACTTAATTTTAAATAGTAAATAAAATTAAAAATCCGATTTTAGAAAACAAGCCCTATATAATTATAAATTATTTAAAAATAAATAAGTTATTATTTAGTTGTTATTTAGAGTTTAGCTTAAAAGTTTATAACTATTTTTCTAATTTTTAGTATAAAAGTTTACTATTTATAGACTTTAAATATACTTACTTTATTATTCTGTTTTATTTAATAGACTAGCACTTTTTCGCTTTTTTTATACCTAGTATTAGTTAGTATTAGCTTATTAGAGTTTAGTAGAGATTATAGTTTATAGAATTTATTATAATAGAATATATTTATTATACTTTTAAACCTATTCTATTATTTTGTTTAAAGCTATTTTTGCTTTATTCTAGATTTAATATAATTTTTTTTTTAATATTTTATATAAATAATTTTTTTACTAGGTTTAAGTTATTTAAAAACTAATTTTATTTCTTAAAATATTATTTCCTCCTAAGGGTAAAATAAATAAAACTGCTTTTATTTTTTTAGAAGCTCCGCCTATTTGCCAATACTATTAACGTTTTAAAAGTACTTTATATTATTAGAAAATAAATTAAAATCTTTAAATATTAGGTTAAAAAAGTTATTAAATAGCCTGCCCTTAAAAACTAGTCCGGAGTAAAAGCTTTTTTAAATATTATTAGAATTATTTATTATTAAGTTAAAAACTTTATTAAAATTGCTAAACTGCTTTTAAAGTTAATAGGTAAAAATTCCGAATAGTAATAAATATTAGTAGAAAAAAATTTATTCAAAATATTAAAAATTAAATATTAAAAATTGATATTAATTTGCAAATCTATATATATATAAATGTTTTTTACTACGGCACTAGTCTTACTATTATTTAACTATTCCTAGAGCAAAATATAATATAGCTTTTATTAGTTAAAAATAAAAAAGTTAATAAGAAAAAATTGGAAAAAATTTTAATATTCTATAATTCTTTTATTTTTAATACTATTTAAATTAAATATCTAATTTATAAAAAAAAGCTTTATACTATAATAAAATATATTAAAAAATATAATTATTTATATAAATATTTATATATATTTATAATTATATAAACTAATTATTGTTTTTTTATTTACTTTTTAAAGTTAAATTTATATAAAAATATTTATAATTATTAAGTAGATTTGTTAAAATATTTAAATATCTAGATTAAATATATTTTAAAATCTTAGAACAAAGTAGTAGACAAGTTATTAAGGACTATTTTTAATTTAAATTATACTATTACTTTAATAATAAAATATTTAAGTAAGGAAGTTGAAAATTGAAAACTTTAATAAGTTTAGAAAAATAGAATAAATAGTTTTAACTAGTTTTTTAAATCTTTTTTATTTTAATAGTAAAATGAAATTATTAATTAAATTAGCCTTAATAGTATATTTATTTTTAGCTTTTAAGCGGTTTTATTATTTAGTTTTAATTAAAATAATTTTTTATTTATAAATATTTAATATTAAATAAATATATACTAAAAATCATTTTAGTTTAAAGAAATCTATACTTTTTTTATAATAGACTATTTATCTTTTTTTTTATTTAACCTTTTATATTGTTTTTTTAAATACTATATTTAAAACTAAATTTTATAATATTATTATAAAAATTTTTTTTTTTTATATACTAGAAGTAAAAGTCTAAAGTATTTTTATTAAAGTATATAATAAAAGTAGTTATTAAATAAAAACTAATATTATAGCTTGTTTTCGGAATTAGTATTATTAGCTAAACTAAACTTATAATATAAAATAATATATTTTTAATTATTTAAAGTATATTAAATATAGCTCCGCTATTAGGTTTTAACCTTTTTATTTTATTTAATTTATATATTTTTTCTAACTTATAGGTATAAACTTTATTAGCTTATTAAAAACTATTTCCTTTAGTAATTATTATATCCTTAATATAGTTTACTATTTAATATATTTTTTTAAAGCTTATACTACTAAAAACTATATAATAAAAAATATTATTTTTTATCTTTTAGACTTTTTTACTAGCTATTAGAGACTATAAGCCTACTATTTTAATCTAGGTTAGCATTTTAATAATTATAACTTTTAATAGTTTTTTAAAGTTTATAAAATTGCTTAAAAGTATTTTTTTTAGGTATAAAGTATATAACTAGAATAATTGAAATTTATAATTAAATTCTAGAAAAAGTATTATAAAAGTAAATTCCAACTAAGATTATTAGTAACTTTATTATTAATATAAATAAATAAAATAAAAAACTTTTTAACTTAATATCTAATATTAATAAAAAATTTATTATTTATTTAAATATATTACTATATAGAATTATTTTTAAAGATATATATCTAGTATTAGTAATAGTATTAACTCTTTTTACCTTTCTAGGACAGTTAATTCTACTTTATCTCTTATTACTTTATAGTATAGTAGTACTATACTTATAAAGTATAACTTTATAATTTAGTTATTTAGAAGTTAAATAAGAAAAAGCTAAAGTAGGCAAACTAGTATAATAAGAGCGCTAAAAATATTTATTATTAAATTAGAAATTTAATTATATTATAATAGTACTGCAAAAATATTAAAAAATTAAAATTTATATAGCGAGGACCTTTCTAGCTTTTAGTATATAATAATAGAAAAGGTATTTTTTTATTTTAATATAAATTAATAGTAAAAGAATTTATAGTTATTTTTATAGTAATTTTCTTAAGTTTTTTAAGCTTAGAACTAGCTATTTAAAAAATAGCTTTTCGCTATTATTAAAATAAACTATTCAACTCTTTAAAATAATTAAATTATAATTATTACTTTTTCCTTTTTTAATATATAGTCTGTTCTATTTTTAAAATATAATTAATTACTTTTTTTTCCTAATAACTAATTTTAATAATACTTTTTAAATTGCTTTTAAAACTATTCTGCCCCTATTATATATAGAATTATCTTTATAAGTTAATTAAAAATAGTCTATAATTTAAAGCTTAAAAAAATCCGCTTTTAAAAAATATAATTATAGAAATTTTAAAACTTTTTTATATTAAAAATTCTAGCTTATAATAAGCTAATATAGTAGGAAATCCTTAATTTAAATTTTTTTAACTTTATTATATAATATGTTATTAGCTGCTATTTTAGTTAGTACTTTTTTTAGTATTTTTTTTTAATTTAAATTTCTAGTATAGCTATAAAATATTAATATAAATTTTTAAGCTAATAAAAATAGCTTATAATAAAAAAAACCTTTTAAAGTTTTTTTATACTTAGTTTATATAATACTTAAAGCGGTTTTTGCTTATATCAGTAGAATATAAGTTGCTAGAGCTTTTTTCTATTTTATAAGGTCGTATAGACAAGGGAGCTAAAATGCTTGGCGGAGCTGGGATATTTAACCGTAGTAGTAGTTAGACAAAAACACTATCCTTCGTCCAATCAAGTTGTCTTGCTTTTCTGATGCCAAGCCTTTGCTCTTTTTTCCTTCTTTGCTTTGCAGAGCTTCATTATACTAAACCCTGCCCATTGCCTCGTCAAAATGAGAGGAAGTAGCAGTGTTCGCCACAGCGCCTGGCCTGTTTCGTCATACATATGTAAACCCTGTCTGCGACGACAAATTCATACCAACAGACTCCTACGCGCCGCCTCCCAAGCCAAACCTCCCGATATTCCGACCACCAAGCCGTCAGCTCTCAAAGACGCAGAAACGGCCAAAGCTGTCATCAATTCCTCTACCGAGCCTTTCAATCCTACCAAATCTCGTATTACAAAAACAGAAATCCTCAAATGGAGAAAGCGCGGCGGTGTGCCTCCTGCGATGTTCCAACCCTACAGCCCCGATGAATGGGAACAACTCCGCGAGAAATACACCCCCGCCCAAATTAACGCCATCCAGGCCGCTGAAGAAGCAGTTGACCCTCAAGACCTCGCACAATCTAAGATCCGCACGAATGACCCCTGGGCCATCGACTACGACGACGATTTCTCTGCACACCACCCCGTCCTCGACAAACGCGTCAATCCATCAGAAGAGACCAATTATGACCCCAAGCTAAGATTCAAGACTGACGAAGAAATAAAGCAAGATTTCACCAACTTCATTGCCAGTTTAGGCAAAGACGAGAAAGACCTGACGGGGCTAGAGTATCAGCAATTCAGGGACAACCAACGCATTATGGTCGGCAAAGCCCAAGCCGAGCACAACCCCATCAACTACCTCGCACCCGCGATCCCGAAGGAGATCGACGGGCTCGCCGAAATGGCAACAATAGAACCCGTAGATGCAATACCAGAGGAGGACAGGATTCTGCTCAGACAAACGGGCTACACTCGAGAAGAGGTTCGGGGATTGAAGTCAAAGATACTGGTAACGCATCGTGTGATGAACCAGACGCGGCTCGGGAAGATTCAGAGTATATACGTGCTGATGGTGGTGGGGAACACGAAAGGCCTGGTGGGGATTGGGGAGGGCAAAACTGCTGACTCGAAGGATGCGATCAAGCAGGCGAGGAATGCGGCGCTTAGGGGCATGGTGCCGATTCAGCGGTATGAAAGAAGGACGATTTTTGGGGATGTGAAGGGGAAGGTGGGCGCGACACAGTTGGAGTTGATGAATAGACCCCCTGGTATTCCTCACTCTTGTTACCCTTCCTACTCCTCCCTCCAAACCCCTTCGCCTGGGTTAGACTGTTATACGGCAAACGAATGCTAATTTGCTGGAACGCAGGATTCGGACTCAGGTGCATGCACCTCATCTACGAGATCTGCAAATGCGCAGGTATCGAAGATCTAGCGGCGCGGGTGACAAGGGCTAGGAATCCGATGAATGTGGTGAAAGCGACTATGCAGGCGCTGACAAATCAGCGGACACCGGATGAGATGGCCAGGGGCTTGGGCAGGAAATTGGTCGATGTGAGGAAGGTGTATTACGGGGGAGTGGATAATTTGCAGGCCCAGATTACGACATAAGGGGAGATGGGATTGGGGTTGAATGCTTTAAACGGGGGGTGTATATTGCTGTCTATATAAAGTCGTGACAAGATCTTGTCCAGCGCGTCCTCTCTTCCCTTGTCCTCACAGCCCTTGTGGGTGACGCGGTGTCCATATCCCAACCGAGCTTCCGTCGGCACAGCCTTTCATCTTATCATTTGTCCAACATCCTGTCTTCCTCGTCTTGAAACTTGTCGCTTAACGCTGCTTCCCTTCCCTCTGTCCCCTCCCTCCTCCCCTCCCACTCCTCCACTTTGCCTCACCGCCTCACCCTCCAAGTCCGTCTCTCCCCCACAACTCATCTCTTCCCCTTATCACTTTTAACCTTTTCTTCTTGCCTGCATCATCCACCCCCTTACCCCCCTTACCCCATCTATCCCCCACCCTCCTCCCCTTCCCCACCACCGTAAATCTGCTGCTGCAGCACTATACTGTACACACTCGCCTTCAACAACGTGCACACACTGCTGGTCTTGCGTTCTAGTAATCGGAGCCCATCGAGGATCTCGCCTGTGGGCGTTTCGGAGAGGGTGGAGAGGGATGAGGAGAGCTGAGGGGGAGGGGGGGTTGTTAGCTAGATAGTTGGTGGGTTGGGGGTTTGGAGGGGGAAAGGGGGGAGAGGGGAAGGGAAGGAAAGGGCATGGGAGGGGGAAAGGGAGGGAGTGGAGGGTTTACATCATTCAGGTTCGACAGAAGAAGCGCGTACTCGTCGAGAACTTCTTGCTCTAGAGGAGAGACGGCGACGGAAGGGTTTGAGGTGCTGGAGGGATTGGCGGTGTCAGTCATTGGGAGGTTGGTGTGGGTGGTGTTGCATTGCCCGCAAAGGAAATGTTGGGATGGGGGGCGTATGGGGAGGGGATTGTGGTGGTGGAGGGGAGGGTGGTTGTTGTTTGTGTAATTTTGGGGGCGCGATTTTAGCGCGTTATTTTTTGTGTATTGGACGGGTCGAGGGGGTGGGGTTTCCCACGCTGTCTACAATTTGAGCTTCGCTTGGTAGGAAACGCATTGCCATTGGCGATAGGCCCTAAAGCTGTCTACTGAGAGAGGTGTTTCGAGGGACGGCCGTCAAATATCATAAGATCATAGTAAATCTCTCCCCTAGGGATATCACGCAATTCAGGTGCCATCATTCCCAGCTTATAATCGAAGTGTCTCTGTGAGGTCCTAAGTGCAGTGAATACGATTGTACCATTCGCTCTGATACCGATCTCAATCATCCACCTCAGGCTACCGATTCGAGCAGCTCTATGACAGTGCATCCACGCGACGGTGTCGACGATCTGCCTTGCCCAGGCTTCTCTGATGTCCCACGGTATGACCTCAGACTTAGAGTCTGCCTTGATAAGCATTGTTTGAAGGCTACCAAAAGCTGGGTACTCGTATAGATAACTTTTCAGATGTTCTCCCATGCCATCAAGAACAACGCCGATGAACGTAGCAATACCGCTGCAGCCTTCTAGAGATCTCAAGAACTTTAGGTCATTGACGAATACCTGGAAACCACTTCCGTCGACCGCTCCAGAATTGACAAATGGAGCCTTACGTTCGATGCACGATAAGTATGACCTCGCACGCACAATAAAGCAATTGGAGGATTTACGAGTCTTGGTTTCAATCTCGGTCTCTCGGTATACCTCGCATCCCAAATCCTGGATATCGCGTAGGATCTGATCCTCGGCAGATGAGCAGGCTTCCGCACAATCCTCACTAATCGTAGACCTGGTATAATCCCCAAACGTCGAGCTGCCCTCACGACGTCGAAAGTAGAGTGAAAAGTTGGTCACAGATGCGAAGAGATCAGTCTTGCGACATAACGTCTTTACCTGGTCGCGAACAACACTTGGTAGTGCTAGACTATGTTGTTCGGAATCATAGAAAAAATCCAAACCGAAGACGGTCGCTAGGTCCTTTAAACCATCGATCCTGACCGAAATGGTGACCCTCCGCCATTCTCGTTTTTCTGCGTACAGGACGAAGTAATTATGGGTCGAGGGGTGTGTGCTTGAACGCTTACTGCCAATGACAAACAGTGGGTCTTCGAGTACACCCTCGACCGTCATCAATTCGGGACAAAACGACAATGACATTTCCAGATACATTGTTGGTGATGGCGTGTGAGGTCTAGACCACTCGTCAATCATCGAGTAGAAGTCGTCTTCTGAATTTTGAGATTCGCAATCGTCAAATGAATCTGAGCGATAGCAAGTGAGAGCAACTGTGGATGAACCTCCAACAAATGAATTCATCTCGTCTCCTGGAGAATCCACCCCTGTAATTGTCTCACTGGAAGGTGTCTTGCCAATTGCATCTCTGGACATGGAGGCGTATGCTTCCCGAATTTGACCCAGCTCCGATGCATTCTCCGCCAATCTCTGGGATATTTGGGCAAGTGATCGGTTTAGCGAGCTGTCTACGCCGATATCGAGGTCATCTTCCTCCAAAAGAGAAGACTGTTCTTTCAGGCTCGCTGTCTTCATGCTAAGTCTCATCCGGTGGCTAGACTCGTTGAGATCCAAGGTCTCTATGGACTGGACTGATGATTGCATCTCAACATCAGCATTTACACTGGTTGACGGACGGGAGCCGAATAAATCTTTCGGCTTCTCAATGGTCCCATTAACCAAAGTAGCTGTCAAATCACTACCCATGCCAATTAGACGCATACCACACAATCTTGCCTCTGTCAGTGTCTGCTGTTACGAATGTTGAGGACGGCTCATACACGGAAACTCCGCTCAACGCAGTGTTCAAAGTCGCCTTCGCAGTCTCAAGGCGAAGTTGAAGCTCCTTAATATCATTCTTTGTGAAAAGCGCCCACTTAACGCTTTTCAAACCTGACCAATCGCCCGTACCTTTCCTAAACAGCTTCAATTGTTTTCGCAATCGAAAGATAAGCTCTTGCAATACCACCTCGCAATTCGACAAGGGACTTTGCAAGCAGATGACCATCTCAAGCAGCTCCCCATCTTCAAAATATTTCGCTCTGACTTCTTTATGCTTTAACGTTGCATGCAACAAAGAGATCGTGTGGTGAAGTGAGTCAGCGTCTCGAGCGATCGCCTGAACCTCTTGCGAAGCCCCTTTGATACCCTTTGCAACCTCATGCACGGTCTTTGCGGACTTGATCGCCGCAGCCGCGGTAGCCAGAACGCCTGCAAAAATGCTGAAAGGATCCGCCATCGAGCAACAGATGACCGCGAAGTTGACAATTCTCTACTCAGACCCGCAGAATTTTTCCTCTCAACGCGCTTTGAATAGCTGAAGGTCATATCATCGGACGATACGAGAGTTCCCGTCGCTTTTTGCGAGCCTTAGCTAAGGTAGCATCTTCACCCAATCACCCAGCGAATACTTCAGCCTCAGAAGTCTAGACTCTCCCATCTTGGGTTCCTTCAGCCTTGTTTGCGTATGCAGTTGAAGGCCCTGGTTCTCTGGCGCGCATGCCGACCCGACACCAAGATTGTACATTTGGCCTTAAAAAGGAATCGATTTACGAAAGTCTTCGCGCCGCACGTTATGAGCAGGCAGCCTTTTGGTAGCGACGTAGTTACACCGAGTTGACGCTCGAAAGCAGTAGTGACGACTTGTAGGCCATTCGCTGTCCAGCTTAGACAGTGCGAAAACCACTTTGCAAAACCTTCATATCACGCGCTGTGAAGTGGCTTGCTCTAGACATTGACGCGGGCCTGTATCCTCAACATATCAAACACCGAAGCAAATCACTCCTCAATCATCTCGCAATGGTATACAAGCTCACACCCTCCTCAAGATGGCAACGCTCTCCACATGCCCCGTCTGCGGAAAGAAATCAAAACCCTGCAGGCTTTCGATCTCATACTTGACGCCCTTTCCACCTTCCCCACCTCCCACATCCCCAACATCCCCCCTTCCGCCCTCCTCACCCTCGTCCTCACTTGCCTTCCCATTACCCTTCCTTCCTTCTTTCCTCCCTTCAACCAAAACCCCCACATCCCTCGCCTGCGTATGCACATTACAGCTCACATACACCACCCTCCTCGGCCCGAACCTGAGCAACTGCCCCAGGAAATTCGCATCACACCCTTTTCGTGGCGGATCAATTACCACGGCCGTCTCATCCGCTGGGAAGTCGACCCCAGCGAAGATATCCGCTGCGTCTGCGGTCCTGAAAGTGCAGTTTTTCACGTTGTTGAGGGAAGCGTTTTTGGCGGCGGAGGCGATGGAGGGGGAGGAGATGTCGATGCCTAGGGAGGATTTGAAGAGCGTGGAGAGAGTTATCGTGAAGAGACCGGAGCCGCAGTAGGCGTCTAGGAGGTATTTGATCTGTGGGGTGCGTGGGGGGGTGGTTGGTTGGGAAGGGGAATGGGGAAGGGAAGGGGCTGGAGACGAGGGCCGGGAAGGGGGTGCAGGGAGGATGCGGTCGCGGATGTAGGACGTGAATTTTGGAAGGATGGAGTTGTTGTTTTGGAAGAAGGCGCCAGCGGTGTTTTGGAAGATGTAGGAGTCGATGTATTCGGTGGCTGTGGCGTTTGAGTCTGTGATGCAGCTTTTGAGTTCGGTGAATGATGAGGTCTGGCTTTCCTTGTCGGATTTTGGACTGTCTTTATTCTTGATTTGAGAACTTGTTCTTGGTTCGTCGTTTGGCGTTCTTGAGGTACTTTCTCTCAATAACAGCGTAGCGCCTTTGCTGTATTTGCCAATCTCCTCAGTAACTCGCTTTCTTTCGCTAACCATGCCATTTCGTACTGAGTCTGTGCCGATTGGACAATCTTCGATGTCGATCGTCTTCCGCGTGCCTTTTATCATGAAACCTATCGGAGGCACTGTTTCGAACTTTCTACCCTCGCCATTGAGTTTTGCTCGACGTGATAAGCTGCCGGGTGGTCCATCAAAGTGGGGTGTCAATTTCGTGCGGTACCCATATTGCATTGGTGAGCCAATTGTGTTTTCTACTGCAGGAACAGCCTCGGGGATTAATGATGAGAAATTGCGGTAGGCTTTTTCAATGATGGACTTCTTGTGTTGTAGTTGGACGTCGTAGGGCAGCATTTGAAGCTGGCAGCCACCGCATCTCGCGAAGTATTTGCATCGAATTAGTGAGTCGTTCCGCTGGTGACCAGGCGTCGTTATTTCGACAAAATCGGTCAATGAGTATTTTTCATCTGCAAAATTGTGAACGACCTTGGCTTTGACGTGATCGCCAGGTACGGTAAAGGGCACGACGTAGACATGGTCTTTCGTGTTTGAGAAGCCAATGCCGTTCCCTGTTGATGATATTCTCTCAACTTTCACCTCTATCTCAGTAAACTTTTCCGGTAGATTTCGATTTGAAGAAGCCTCTGGAGTGGCATTTTTATCTTTGTCTTTTGCAGAATCTACAGCTTCAGCATGCTTACGTAAGGCTTCTATATCAACACGGAGGACTTCATCATTCGAGCCTTCTTGTGATGACTTTACTAGTTTCTTTTGCCTTTTGGCCTTGTGCATATATGTCATTCTGACTGGGCATATATGTGCTGTATGAATGAGTCTTGAAGCCCTAAAGGATCTGAATGACAATGATAGTAGATTTCTGCTCATCTCATGATGTGTCCGTCGTTTATACTTCCTCAATAGAGTCCTCGCACCATTTGAAAATCGAGGCTCGAATATAATTCTGAACAAATGCCAAGAACGTCAGCTTAGTCAGCAGCCGCCGTCAATCCTTGCGTCATATTCCGTACGACTGACCAACATCACGTTCACTAGGCTGATGCGAAGACATCTATTGCTATTGTCGTGGTCATAGTGACCATGATACTTGAACATGGCTTCCTCCAGCTCCCATCGAGATCACAGCATCGAAAGGCTGGATTTCGACTCTCAACGCCAAAAGCGACGGTCAAGCAATAACGCTTATGAATCAGAGCAGACCAGTCTGCTCGCCTCCGACGAATCCTTCTTCTCCGATGTCGTCGAGGGTGCGATCGTTCGAGACCGGAGAAAAATGGCTCAGCGTATCGCAAAATACCTGTCCTTCCTCGTCGCCATCCTATGCTGCCTCTGTGCCGGTTCAATCACCGCCTTCTCCCTCTACGGCCCACTCTTCATATCCCACCTAAAGTACAGCCAATATCAAGTCAATGCTGTTAGCACAGCGGCCGAGCTATCTATGTACCTCCTCACACCTCTGTACGGATGGTTATGCGATCGCTATTCGCCCCGCCCCTTGGTCGCAGTGTCAGCATTTCTCCTTGGTGGGGGATACCTTCTTGCAGCACTCACGTATCACGCTGGGCCTACACTGTACAAACTACGCACGCATCGAGGCACAGATAAGAGCGAGCTAGAACTACAAAGACAGGGCTGGCCTTTCACAGTCATGATTATTGGTTTCCTTGGGATTGGTGCTGGGACCGCGTGCATGTACCTCTCAGCCGTGACCACGTGCGCAAAGAACTTTGGAAGAGGAAGACATAAGGGTCTAGCGCTCGCATTGCCAATCGCTTGTTTTGGCTTGAGCGGTATGTGGCAGAGTCAGATTGGGAGTCATGTTTTCAAAGAGGAGATGAGTGGAAACATTGACGTGTTTCGCTACTTCCTCTTTCTGGCGGGCCTACTCTTTGCTGTTGGCTTGATTGGCAGTCTGGGTCTGCGAATAGTGAATGAGGAGGAATTGGTCGATGAAGCAGTGGACGAGCTAGAGCGAAGTGGACTTCTAGACGGCAGGGGCATACCATACGATGACCGCGGAGAGGCGCAGGCTGACGAAAGATCTACACGCGGAGTGCGAAGCTCTCGTACAAGTGGCTATGGTACGATAGATTCTGACGAGGCCGACGAACTGCCCAAACCTCGTCATGTACACGCGTACAATACCATGAAGATGAAATTGAAAAAGCGACTGGTCCTCCGCCTATCCTTTCCAATCTTCTTCCGAGATCCAACCATGTGGCTACTAGCATTCGGCTTCTTCTTGGTAACCGGTCCAGGCGAGACCTACCAAAATAATATCGGTACACTTCTCATGACATCCTATCCAGAGCCATCTGCTCGTCCGCCGCCCGGCAACAGTCCGGCAACCCATGTCAGCATCATCGCTTTGGCCTCTACTCTCGCCAGGCTAGCAACTGGCACTATCACAGACATGCTTGCTCCCACGCCCTCCTCCGATACGCACTACAAAGCCGGCCGGAAATGCACCGTCTCTCGCATCTGGTTCCTCCTCATCAGCACCGCTCTCTTCTCTCTTGGTCAGCTCCTTCTAGCCACCGATGCCGGTTACAACGATCCAGAAACAGTGTTCCCTATATCATCGGCCTTCGTCGGTCTCGGCTATGGTGCTGTCTTCTCCCTCACACCAATCATCATCAGTTGTGTGTGGGGCGTTGAAAATTTTGGCACGAATTGGGGGACAGTAGCCATGGTTCCTGGCGCTGGTGCTGCGCTGTGGAGTCTGATCTATGCAAAAGTGTATCAGGCTGGTGTCGGTGATGATGGCAGCCTTGAGTGCTTTGGTGCTAAGTGCTATCAGAGTACATTTTTTGCTATGGCAATTGCAAGCTGGGTCGCCATTGCGCTCTGGGCTGTCGCTTGGAAGGGCTGGAGACAGAGAGGTGTCGTTGTATGATCATGCAATCGCTGGGACTCTTACCTGCAACAGTCCAATGCAGAGGACTGTATACGCTCTGAACAAATTACAGCCATGAAGATTGAGGATTCCAACTATTGCGACGAACGCAAAGAAACACTTTCTTCCAAGCTGATCTATCCCTGCTCCTAAGAATTTTGATACCTATCGCTGGCTCACCAGTCATAGACCAGCAAAAGTTTACCTACAGGCACAAAGGCTCGACTGACTAGTGATGTCCACACCTTGCAAACATCCCTTTTCGTGGGTCGGGAACCACGAATTGAAGCATCACAGTAGCCTTGCGAGTCCACAATGAGTTGATCAGGATCACGGTGCTGGTATCAAAAGCTTTGGTGGTCAATTTCAGCACGGCATAGGCCTGTGTTCTGTCCCCATTGAGAGCAGTCTCGCTCGTCCATTCTGGCCGGAGTTGGACGCCAGTCAACAATTCAGGACGTAAGTCATTCAAATAACGAACGTGCTGGGCTATAAATAGCTTCCCTGGTGCGAGAAGCGGCTCCAGTCTCTAGCTACGTTTCACAAGTCGGACTATCGACTAAGTTTGAGACGGGACATTCTCTACTGCATGAAACCAGGTGCGGCTACATCTTGAAACGTATGGAGAAGCGGGACTTGATCTATCTCGTTCTTGACAAATGACAGGTCAAAGGCCCGATGGAGGCCAGACTATTAGCCAGCTTGCCGGAGGTGTTTTGGTGCATGGGCCCTGCCTTCCCGTGCTCTCCCTGACGTCTTCGCGACGCTGGACCTAGACCTTGTGCTATCAATCGTAATTTGGTATCCCCATCCAGGTTTCACTGCGCAGACATGAATGGCTTCTTTTCTCCCTTCTCATTGATCACTTCCAACGATCTCTTCCGTTACAAAAATAATCGCCCTACCATCATTTACTTCGCAGCTGACTTGATCTCCGCCGCTGACTTGGCTACGCATGATACTTTAAGTCGGCGTTTGGACTGTATATCATCGCCGACTATCAATCGCAAAGAGAAGTAATAAGTCGATACCTTCGCCTCCAGGATTCAAAAATGGCACGCAACTCAGACTTCCGGTAGTATTTAGGGACGGGGCATAAACAAGGCCCCGAGAGGCAGCACAAACGTTTGGAAGTTTCCCCTCGAGCTCACTCAAAATGGCAACAAGAATCAGCGAGCTGCCGCCAACTATGACATTTCTTAACATTCCAGACATGGCAAAGATCTTCGATCAATACAGTGGATTTGGCCTTTTCAGAGATGGCTGCCCAGGCGGATGTAAAGAGACCTGCTCCAAGGTGGAACGAATTTTTGGATTGGCCAATAACTTGCAAAATTGCCTGGCCTATCCGACTATCTCACAGTACATCATGGGCGGCAGAGCTAGTCAGAGCGACAAAGACATTGCCACTAAATACGCGATCGACAACTCATATCAAGGAATTACACATACAATAGGTACCTGCCTGAATGGTTACGTTGACTGGTGCCAATATGATTCGTATTGTAAGAATTTTCATAGTGAGGTGGAATCCGTCTGCAGGCCGGTCTTGGATCTTGGCCCTAATTCTACATTCGTATTGCCCAAGTCGCAGAATGGCTCACAAGTTTCTGCCACCATGGGTCAATGCTTATCCCAGATCTGTTCTACCGTTGATACCTCTGTAAGCACGGAGATCGGTGGCACCGGTGTAAGTCTCCAGACCTCTCATAACCATTGGTGCTCTTCCCATGGCCTAACAACGTTGCAGGTCCGGATATCTTACTATCTTCAAATCATTATCGCTTTGCTGATATTTACCCTCATCACCTTTTGGGAGCATGTGCCATACCATTTGAGCCTTGCATATTTCTCCCGTCGACTTGGACCATCAGCAGCAAAAGCTAAAGCACGTGACATTCACAGAAAGCAAAAGCGACACAGGGAAGCCCTCGTGACTGCTGCCATAGAATTCCACAAGGCGCAGTGTTATTTCATGTCTGCAATTCAAGTTGCTGCGATAGTCGTTATGAACACGGGCATCATAGAATCAAATTCTTTAGGCCAAATATTCAACAATTATGAGCTGATCAAGACACTTTGCTCGGGAAGCTCGCTGCCGATTGCATTCATCCTCTATCGGTTGTGGGCAGTGAAGAAGGCATCCTGGGAATTATGGATCCTCTCAGCCATCACGATTGCTCTTTGCACGGCAACATTTGTCATCTCAACTGGTTCCTCTCCAACTTACCAGACAAAGCCTCTGGAAATCGACTCGCATCTATATCCGGGCTGTGGGAATGCCAAGCCCACGGTATTTTGCACCTCTCTGACTGATTCTTCGGGCTCGAAATCGGTCATCGGACCCGAATTCTCCATCGTCTTCTCTAGCGTGCTCCTCGCGCTCATTTTGATCGATCTCGTTCGAGGACTAAAGAATAAGTATCTGCCGCATGAGGATTACGAGGACCCTATGTTCGAAGCCGCAAAAGAACGTCGAAAGTCTATTGCCAATCTATTAGTACAACCATTTCGTACCGCCGCACCAGAATCTTCCTTGCCACGGTCGCAAACCGACCCGATAGAAAGCGAAAAGCCCTTACCTACTCGTCCAAGTTCAAAGAAGCGACTACATCGTCGCCTAATCACAACAATCACCGTTGTGCTCCTGTGTCTCTACGTCTTCTTCATCAAAGAATTCATCACTTCACTCCAGTCGTTCGACAATCCCAAGCAAAATGATTTGCAGACATGGACAATCGGACAAGTCATTGCTATCATGGTTTTCCTCCCCCCAATCCAGAGCTATGTGACCTTCGAGATCCGTAAGTTCACCTCAATACATGTTGATTCTCGTGTTGTGCAGAATCTCTGCTGACGCCAATTGAACAATAGGAGGCCTTCAAAAAGCCCACGAATCTCGACTCCCCAAAGATTGGCAACTCGTGCGCACAACAACATCTAATAGCGCATCAACACGAGCAACAATTAGGACTAACACATCAGGAACATCCAACTCCTGGGACGATCTTGCGCTAGGGCGCCGATTTATGCGCAAAGGGACCAATGAAACAGACTCTACCAGAGCGGCGACGAGAACAAACACCGACATCCCGTGGGACGACTTGGCAGCCGGGCGATGCCTGATTCGCAAGGGGACGTCAGAAAGTCTACTCTCTCGGGCACCGACGAGGACGAATACGGAAGATTCGATGAACGATGTGGCACCTGGGCATAGCCTCGTACGAAAAGGGACGGCGGAGAGTCTACTGGGCAAATCCCCCCAAAGGACTAATACAGAAACTTCATCTGAGGGCTCACCGCCTCCACAGGCTCTGGAGCGGAAGGCAATCTCGAAATCATCCTCCCCCAAACCGCCAAAAAGGAGTGGTACAGGAACTTCAGCCGACGGATCACTGAGCGGACGCTCGGTACCAAGAAGAGGCACCGCAGACAAGTTTGCTTTCAAAACGCCGGCGCGATCTGATACGGAGATGTCGTGGGAAGACCTAGCAATGGGGAGGGGCCTGGGGATCAAGCCTACGCCGCCATTGAAGAGTGCGAGGGATCGGAGAGCTAGAGTTAGGGAGGATGAGTGGGATGTGCGAAGGTTAGAGAGGGGGACACGCAGGGTGGCTACTGATTAATTAATTGACAGAGTAAAAGGATGTTTGAGTCGAGTTCGCACCGTGCTGTTTTGCTGGCTTAAGAGAGGAGAAGGGTGTACGATAGATCTATTCTTGTATATGATACCTTATTGGATGCTGTAATTGAATTACTATTCAAAGTAATTTGAGGGCATCAGAACACTCTCAGGTTCTCTGATATTTGACAGCAATAAGACTACCAATGACTTGCGTACAAGGACTGATGTGGAGTAATTCTTGATAAATACCACTGGTATTAAACGTGAGGCTTAGTAATCACTGCCTTGCCGGCTCTGATTGGCTATACTCCAACTATACTCTCTTCTCCCGCAAATGACGAATGAGACCAAGTGCACAATGCAGCAGCATATACATCTAAACGCACCGCCAGCGTGATGGTCTTAAGATGATCTGGCAGACGGCGATGTTATAACGACAGCATGGCCGAATAAGATCACTCGTCGCTTGCCCGATCACTCACCGCTACCAAGATCTCCTTGCTCCCTGACTTCTGGCTGGACGTCGACTTCCGCCAGCAAGACTCTCCTCCTTCCTCGGTTATCAGAGCACAAGCAGAGTGTGACCTTGACAACCGATTCGTCCGGCCAAGATGAGCTCATAGCGACAAGGTCGGAGGCGAGTCGTTCGGCTCGACGCTCGGTCATTATGGAAACCTGGTAGACCCTCTACGCGTCACTAGCCATCGAGACGCAATTCGTTCCTGCGGACTACACTGGTTTATGGGCAGAGACAATAGGAAGAGTAAACAGCACACATGGTGATCTGGTCTGTTTGGAGAACGTTCTCCAGGCGTGGGGGCAGCAGACACGATTGATGCCACCCAGTACTTCAAGCGCATTGCCAACCAAGCTGAACTGAATGATACAACTTCGTCACCAAAAGTCAATCATGACGCTTTCCTCGCGGCCATCCAATTCTATGCTGACGTTCTGGCTCCAAGACCACCGCCTATCCCGGCTATAAAAACAATAGTCGCGCAGCGGAGGGAAACACCCAAGACAATACCGTGGCTATAAAGCTCTTTTTACACGTTTGCTTGAGATGTGCTGGTCTTGCTGGCACAATTGTTTACGTAAAGACCTGTCTATGCTATACCTGAGGATGTTATGGTGGGGAGACTGCTGTATGACTCAAAGCTTTGATATGAATTTGCAGATTCAGATCGCAAGCACGCTTTCGGTGTCACTGGCTCGAACACGTGTACAGCTGGGAAGATTACAGCGAACACGTGTTGAAAGACGATATACTTCACATGCAAGTGGCATCCTTATTTGATGAGAATGGATGGAATGACAAGCGCATGGCCAATGTGACTAATTTGAATTTGGGAAAACGCTTGAGTATGCTTCAAGAGCAAGAGGATTTAGAATCCTACGCTGAACAAGCAACATAAGGCAATGCAGCGTGAGCTCCAAGACTTCTCTGACACGGTTGGCCGCTGGACTTCGGTGCAGACCCTTTCCTCCACCCTTGAGCATCATGAAGCTGTGCATCATTTCAGCAATTACTCGCAGCTCCGGGTCCTACGAAAAGGAGGCGGAAGGAATACCTGAAACGATTTCGCAGCATGGCGTGGGCGATCACTATCCTTACACGCCGGTAAAACAATAGAGACAACCGTCAAGCCATGCAGCATGTGTTTCAATGCGGCCTTCCTACGCGAGCATTGGTCTCCTAACCAACGTATTACAGCGCTTGGGTTAATAAAACATCGGCAACGGAGCGACTTAGCTCATAGCTTCCATCGTGTCTTCCTTGGAAATAGCGTATCCCTAGAAACCCAAGGTCAGCGGCTACAGAAACGCACTCTAGCATGGCAAGGACCGAAGGATCATGGTCGGCTGCGAGCTGCTACTGCGACCCAAAATACGTACGAAGTCGGCGCTTAACAAATAATAGACAGCTTTCGAAATTGGAGCCGCATGTGAGGCATCCAACATCATACTGAAAACATTATATGGATTGTTTCATCGTTGAGAGGATGTTTATTTACAGCTTGCATCACAGTCGTGAAACAGAATCCAGCGACGACAGGCGTCGTGTTAGGTAGATTCAGCTATTAACCCTTGCTGCTTGCTATGTTCTGGTTTCTTTGCCTGTCAATGGGAATAGAATGGGCGAGAAAGCGTCGTAAGGGATCCCGATGCTCGTCTATGTATATCATGTTTGGAAAATGCTCGCTCTACTGTCATGGCTGTCTGAGCACTCGCTTCCGTCTCAGAAAATTGTTGTCAAACTGTCCTTTGGAATATGTTTGCTCTACTACTTCCAATGTTCATGTCATGTTCTACTACGTGCGTTGCAATGCGTTTACTCTGAAAGAGTTCGGGATGACCGGGATGCTGCAAAACGTGCGATATAACACATACATACAGCTATCATGCTTGACCATTCTTGCGATCATACAAATAACCATCTCAGCTGCCATAGGTGAGATCAGTCCACCCTCCATCTCTCCCCACGTTCTGGTGAATGTAGCACATTGATACATAACGGGTCTCTAGCTGCACGAACCACGATCTCAAACACTGTCAGCAATACATGCACAAGCAGCATCATTCGCAACTCCATGATATTGAATAGTGGGGCCTCCGAACTCAGCGGCCGACTGAACAGCAAGCAAAGCTGTACAGCAAGTCTCAAATCCGCGCCACCAGGTACATGGCTCAACACAACAACGCGTCCAGACTTCATTCGGCCGTCCTTCAGTCCATCTCACAATTGCGAGATCTGGAGTTCTCGCTGCCAGGCTGGGCCCATCGTCGTAGATGTGAACCATCCGACTAAATCGACTTCAATACCCGGACAAGCTACTACTCCTCTTTCGCATACAGTGCATCCTGCACCTAAGGCAAAACCAGAAGGCTGGCCCCGCCCAGATCTACCGAGCATTACCTCGATGGCGAAGTTTGACAAAGAACACCCAAGATTCATCTTAAACACCATTTCCAAGCAAGGTGATTCCGAAACCTCTGCTGGGCGAGATGATCTCTTTAGATCCACTCTGCAACCTCAGATCCCTTCTAGAACTCAGCATCTTCAGTCTCAACCTCAAGCTCCTTCTTCAACTCTATCCCATCCTAGATCTCATCCTCAAATCGGACTCCTCCAGAATCCAGTCTCTCGACGTCCACAGCCTCCCCGTTCCAAGTTCGCAAACACCCCTCTCCCCTCCTCTCATTTCCCAAGCCCTTACCCGCAGTCTACCACAACCACCTCGCACCTCCCCACCCCACTTGACATCTCTCTCCTCACCCCCCTCAGTGCTCCTCTGTTTAAGAACCCTCACACCAACACCTCAACCTCACGAGCCAAAGCTACCACTACATCCAACACAGCCTCCAGCCTCTCCCGTGTATCACCACCCACACTCAGGTCATCCAACCCGTTAGCCAAAAGCCAGACAAACACGACATTCTCAGCTAAACTCTCTCTTCCAGTCTCCCCAACCCCCACCCGCGCAATATACATCCCGAACAAAGCTAGCACGAACTCCACGACAGGCGGAAGCGAAACTCAAGCATGTATATCCACCGTCTCCACGCCTTTTGCCCGCCGCTCTACCACCTCTAAAGCGTCTACCCACGCCCCTTCTCTCACTAGCACATCTCACACCTCCTCACACTCCCACACCTCCTCCCACTCCCACACCTCCTCCCCCCTTCGACAACATCCCCTCCCCCCATCCCCATCCCCATCCCCCCCCCCCATAAACAGCAACGAAACCTCCCACCACCTCGCCATCGCTGGTGCAGACGAGGCCGGGGACAGGGATGCACTCGCTCCCCCACCCCACCCCCACGCCCACTCCCTCTCCTCCCCCGACTCCTCAGCACAAGCCGCTACCGTGAAAGACGAGGGCGAGGGCGAGGGCGAGGGGGAGGGGGAGGCGAGATGGACGGCAGCGACGACGTTGAATAGAGAAGGCGTCGCTACGGCAGCGGTTCTAAACGGTGCCGGACGGACAGGACGCGGATGGGGATGGGGAGGACTGGTGTTCTGGCTGGTTTGCTTGTTGTAGATGTGTAGTAGGGTTGAGCTATGGGAAGGGGTGTGGGTGTGGGGCGGATGGATCCATCGACTTAACGCACAACTTTTCTGAACAGAGAGAAGTTTAAGTAGGCAGATAGGGTAGGGTAAGGTAAGGTAAGATAATTCGCCCGCGCGCTGCGCACTGATATCTCAACCTTGCACCTCCTGGGACGGCTGAGGGATTTGTATATCCATCCACCTCCGTACATCAAGACGGGAGACATAAATGACGGAATTTTTGCAGAAGTCCTTCTATCTATCTAGCAAGAAGACGTGATGGACGTGGGTGAAGCAACAATCTCCCATCCTCCTCGTCCCATATTTTTTCTCAGATATGCCCTGCCCTGCCCTGCCCTTCCCCACCTTGAGAAGAAAAAAAAAGACGCCCGCTGTCTACGAACGTAACGTAACGTATGTATGGTAGCCATCGATATTGCGTCAGAGGGTTTACCAGCTTGAAATGCATTTTTCACATCATTGAACATCCCATCCGCTCTCTCTCTCACACCAGCTCGTGTCATGGCCAACTTTTTCTTGCTTGCCGTCACTATATCCCCCCCCCCTCGGCGATATATTGCGCCCCTTCTCCTTGCCAGCCAGCAACCCCTTCTTTGCTTTCAGCCATCCGCAGCACAGCACACCCGCAGCGGCGTCCTCTGGGCCCCTACCCAAGCTAGCAACCATCCCTCGCATAATCATCACCTCCCCTCCTCCCCTCCACCCCCATCTCCGGCATGATGCAACGTAACGCTATTGAACTCCTCAAACGGATCCACTATCTCGCCTCCAGGCGTCGCCAATCCGCTATCAAGCGGCACGCCCTTCAGTCCCGCGGCGGGGATGCCCAGCGCGCCATCCTTCGTCACGCCCCCCTTACCGAGACCACCGCCTACACCACCGGGCACGCCGCTGCTGCCGCCACTGTCTTTCGCTCCTGCTCCTGCCCCTCCCCCTTTTCCACTAGCTCCGTTCGTGTTGCCCGAGTGCATTGTCAGACCATTGGAGCTGGAATTCGAGTTGCCCATATCCATAGACGATTGGGAATCTTTCACGTTGCGAAAATTCACCGTGTCGATGGCCCGACCTTGATGCGGTGTCATGGGCGGTTTCATATGCCGGAGAAGCGCCCATTGCGTGTTGCGGAAGAAGGGGTGGGATTTTACGTCGGAAGCGCCAGCGCGGGAGCCGATGCGGCGAAGTTCGTCTTTGATGAGTAGTTTGCGGATGAGGGATTTGCAGAGGCTGTGGAGGGAGAGAAAGAGGGTCAGAAAGGGTCTGTGAGGAGGGGGTTTGGATAGATGGGTGGGAAGGGAGACAGAAAGGGAAGAAGAGAAGATGGGAAGGCTTACTTCGATATTTGCGGCGCGCCGCCATGTTCGGGGAATGGCACATCGTCTCGCAATATGTTGGCGAATGTCTGGTTCCTGTTCTTTCCCTTGAAGGGCGTTGTGCCGTACAGCATTTCGTACACCAATATGCCCAGGGTCCACCAGTCCACCGCACTTGTATGGCCGCAGCCTTTTATCACCTCTGGTGCTATGTATTCTTCTGTTCCGACAAACGAGTTGGTACGAAAATCTGCGATACAGGACTTTGTGTCTATTATAGGAGCTCCATTGCCTGCCATGGCGCCGTTTCGCCCGACGATCATTGTAGGGGCACCGCCGGGCCCTGATTGTTTTGAGAGGTCGAAATCTGACAACATAATGTGGCCGGACTGATGCAGGAGGATATCTGTGATTTGTCAGAGAATACTCTGAGAGGTTGGTCAGGTAGGGAATGGATGTACTTTCTGGTTTCAGGTCTCGGTAGATGAAACCCATGAGATGGAGGTATTCGAGCGCTGCGATCACTTCTCCTGCATAAAAGCGGGCGTCGTCTTCCGGTACGCATTTACCAGGACGTGTTTGCAATGCTGCATCCGTCAGTGATGTCTGACAAGACGAGCGATGTGGTCGCTAACCTCTAAAGAATTCTCCGCCACTGCAGTATTCCATACATAAATATAGATGATCCTCTGATTGGAATGAATGATATAGTGTTACAATGAACGGATGATTGCTCGTCGCAAGGATCTCCTGTTCTGCCAATGCTCGTTTTATTTTGTTTCTCTTGATCATCTCTTTCTTGCTCAAGACTGTATCCTATTAGCACAACACCTAGTGTCTTCTCTGCTGCTAGGCTCACCTTTCATAGCATATAACCGACTCGATCGCTTTTCCCTTACCAAATATACTTTGCCCACGTCCCCCTTTCCTATCAATTTGATCTTGTCAAAGCTTCCAGGCCCAACCTCGACTTCCCTTACTTTTATCGAATTGGAGCTGTATGTTCTTCGAAATGCTAACGAATTGCGGAACGGCGGAGGATCCAGACTACCGTCTGGATCGGGTACAGGCAACAAATGGCCCTTGTTGTGGTCAACTAAGCTCAGTGATGCATCTCTAGCATTCTGCGCCAAAGGTTCTTTGCCAATCTCTGCCGTGGACGGCCGCTCGTCATTCTTCGACCCTCCCAACAATCCTTGGACATTGGGCGCTGACGCTATCCTTCGCAACTTTCTCGCCAACTCTTCCTTTCCTGCTGCAGTAGCTTGATCATTTGCGCCACTCACGGCTTCCACCTTTGTCACTCTAGGCGAATCTGGGGGAGAGGGAGGGACACTGCTGTCGTTGTGATGCCGGAGGGCTGGAGGACCTTGGTGGGCAAAGTATGGATTGGCATTTGCTGTGGGTGACATATGGTTTTCTAACGGATCACCCTCACTTGCTATCGTCTGTGATCGGTGTCGGGTAAGGCCCAAGAAGCGGGATTGCCTGAATGTTGACTTTTCTGGCTTTGGTAAGGGAGCAGCGCCATCGTTGTTGATACCGGCATTAACATTGCTACTGGAGCTGTTTATTCGGAAGAAGTTCTTGATTTTCTGAGGGAAGTCTTTGGAGGAGTTGGCATGTCGTGAGGAGCTGGAGTTGCTAGAGAAATGGCGCTTTTCGCTCTTGGTGCTCGGCATGGTGTTGCTGTGCGATGAGTAGCCAAACAGCTGGGTCATACTCGTGGTAAACAAGTGCACTGGAACAGCGCAATGGCTGGCAACTCAAGAGGCCGTGTGGGATGTCGACTGGCAGCGCGTTGGGGGTGCAGATCAATACTGGGTTGAGAGCATGGTAGCTGCCGAATTGGGAAGCCAAGCCAAGTGTCGCTGCTCCCCAAAAGGTGTTCGAAGTGATGCAGATGTGCTGTGAAAGAAAGAATAGATCTCAAAGGAGTAGTATGGGACTTAGATGGTAGGAGATTTCTCCTGTGGCTCGTAAAGATACATTGGTACAATTGATGCTCACTAATTGTCTACCACCTAACGGGCAGGGGGTCTCTTTGGGGTGGAGTTCTCTTGGCTTTTAGGCGGGGCGGGGTTCGTACGGGCTGGTGGCGACTACGACCGATAGGGGAGCCGCTATCACCCCTCCGTATATCCAATGAATGACACAGACCTCCAACTCTTTCCTAATTCCAGGTACAATTCAAATAGCATCTCTGAGCCTCCACGCTGCCTTGTTGGAAGGCTTCTTTGAGCAGCCGTGGACAGTAGTATCGGAGTATGCTACTTCATATAGCTTTCAATTATTACCCTTCAGGATGCGGCCTTCACCGCCCGTGCAGGGTTCAATAATGATCGTACGTTCATCGCCACACGCACGAGGCAACTTCTACGGAACCCTCTTTTTTGCAAATCAATGTTGTCGATACATGCATGTGACTACGTCACAGCCCGATGTTGTATCTTTTTACATGCAACATTACCCCAGTGCTTCCGGCTCTTTGGATGAGCGGCTCCGCCTTCACGATCCTTCGTGGCTTACGTTTGCGGGACAGATCTGACTCGAGGCCGCGTGTGAGCCAACGTTATTACCAAGCTGACATTCATGACCAGCTCCAACCTCTGAGCATGGACGAGCGAGGCAAAGTGTCAGGTCAACTTTGGCAACAGTCATTGAATGCGTTGTTGTACCGGTTTGCATGCCCTAGATAGCTTACAACAAGGTATCGTTACCCGCTAAAGTACAGGCAATATCGAGTCTTTCTCCTTCTGTTCTGAAAGTTTACGTACTGCCCGGACCTCCTATCAGGTTGAACCTCCTGACAATACTTGGTCCCACCTCGTCGTACTCCGCCTTGGTATGACAATAGCTCCTGAATTCTGGCGTTTGCCCGAGTAGTGACCCTCCAAACCACGGTCCGTGCCTCTGCCGCTTGTGGGTGACTACTTGCACGTCCAGGCCTCCAGACTTCTTTCCCCCAGACTTGAGCTCCGAAGCCCGTATGCGCGCGTCTACCATATGTTTGATATCTCTTTGCAGTCTCCGCCCAAAGTCTTTGTATAGAGTGGAGCCACCCGACAACACGATGTTCTTGTACAGTCCACGCCGCACATCAATGGGTGAAGACTGGATGACGCCATCCACAACCTCTGGTAGGGGAGTCAGGAAGTCTGAAGACCAGATCTCGGGGTTGAAGAAGATCTCGGGGGCAAGGAATCGCTCATAGCCAACGTCCACATTCACTGTCCTTCCGTTCGGGGAGGTCACGGTGTGTTTGAGGAAGCGTTCAGGTTCGCGATCGAAGCGAGAGAATTCTTTGACCATGTCTGGGCAAACGTAGCAATATTCTTCCTTCACTCTCTCAGCCGTCTTGAGAGAGGAGTCGGGTTCTCCTCGATCTCGCAGCAATGATTGTACGAAGTATGTGATATCTCGGCCTGCTATTGGGATAGATTTGATCGATGAGCCGATCACGTAGCCTTCAGCAACTGGTATTATATGTGTGACTCCGTCGCCGCTGTCAACCACTATGCCGGTCAGTGACCGGTCCGTGACTTTGGAGGAGGTCCAGCTGGCAGCAAGGGCGAGTACTGCTTGTACGGCTATGTAAAGACCTGCGCAGTTGAAGGACTCGAACATGATCTCCGCGGTGTTCTCACGGTTCTCTGGCGGATTTAGAGGCTGCGATTCTCGTCAGTGGGTGCGCTACCGGAAGCTCCTGAGCTCCTTTTGAACAAAAATGTGTTGATAAGGTTGTATGAAGGGCGAAGGGGACAGCGAAGGAACATACAGGTTCTGTTAGGAGGAAGTAGTGGTCTTCTGGCTCCACTCGAAGGTATTTGAATATTGAATTTGACCAGAATCGTTCCATCAAATCCTGCGACGTCAGCGTTTGAAGCGAAGCGTAACACCTTTCAACATACCCAGTTTTCGACTTGGCCATGCCGTACAGGATAATGTATCCCATACCCTGTATCAAAATCAGCGGCCAGTAAAGTCTTGATAGCTCAGGCAGTAGCTATCGTACCAGGTCCGCTCCCCGCAGTCAAGGCCTCATCCCCAATGAAAAAGTCGAGATCCTCCGTTCCCCTCTTGTGAGATACATTGCCTGAAGGACCAGCCCCTCCTGTCAAGTACGAAGGCTTACTAGCCACTGGTGGACGTCCAGAGCCTGCACCACCGGTGCCACCAACGCCGCTGCGTGTAGATATCGCTGTAGGAAAGACGAAGGAAGGGGAGTCGTTGCCAGCGAAGCCTTCATGCGATTAGAGAGTTCCGTGCGAGGTGAAGGAATGTGAGAGCGGTACCGAGTTTTGAAAAGCCAGTACCACTATGATCAATCAGCATTGCTTGCGGATACGCCAGCCTTGGGTGATTCTTACTTGTCTATGACGACCGCGGGTGTCTGGGTAGCCATTCTAGGAGCGTGGAGATGGTGAAGTTAAGTTGAGGGCTCGTAGAGCATGACCGTTCATCGTCATTCCATTACTTTCACCTCGCATCCATCTTCAGGCATCAATTAATAGCACTTCTTTCAGATTGATGCTTCCATTTGTGGAGCCCGCAGTCCGCGCGTTAGATGCGGCATCGGTTGGTGAGTTCGGTCAAAAGTTGTTACGTCCCGACGTCAGAACAGAGAAACTTCAAGCTGCTGCTTCTGAACAGTGCGCTTTGGGTCTGCGATTACAATCCAAAAATCAAGAGGTCGCAAAAATGGCTGTTAGTATTTTCGGGCCCTGATCTGGCCGGCCTTTGCTCTGGTCTGGTCTGAGAAGCTAATTTTCACAGTCTGTCCCAATAAATCCGAGGCCCATGCTACAATCATTGTACGTCTTCCAAGACTCACCTCTCACACCCTTTGCGACGACCCAATCTCTCCAGGTCCACCAGCTTGAGATTACTCCATTCGTCTACGCCTCGTTGTCGGCAACGACTGGCTAATGTGTGCGCACGAACAGGGTCAACGAGCCAGTCATCATCCGTCTAAAGTGGGGCCAGACCGAATACCACGGTCGTTTGATCAGTGTAGACTCCTACATGAACATACAACTGTCGAATACAGAGGAATATATCGATGGGAAGAACACAGGAACTTTAGGGCAGGTCCTAATACGGTCAGTATGAGCGGCGAAACCTCAATGGTCTTTGGAGAGCACGCTGGCAGAGTTGATGAAAGAGGCTGATTCAGGTTCTTATTGCAGGTGTAACAATGTACTTTGGGTATCGGGCGACAAAGGATCTAAGCAAGGCGATGTGAAAATGGAGGGTTGAGCTCAGGCGCTGGAACCATGATTCGATCTGGTGTAAAAGGAGGCTCTCCAGAGAGCGGATAGAGGTGCAACAGCCTGATCAGGAGAGGAATGTTAATAGGATATACCCCAGAAAAATGGCACAGCAGCTTTCGTCGTTGGGCTTGGTCATACGACGAAAGAGCCCGAGAGCTTTGAAGGTCGCCCCGGAGGTGCATGTGCCAAGTCTAGAACAGATTGACTGGCTGCATCAAGCACGATCAGATCTTGCATTCGATCCAAATGCAAAATGCAGATGCTATCGTCTCGTCCGTATTTCATAACAATTGGCGCACGTTCAAGATTGATTGGCAGGCGTGTTTCGAGCACGTGGAGACGTGAATTGATGTCTGAAGCAGACGCGCAAAAGGCGGTCAAAGCAGTTGTTTGAATGTCCATCCGTACAGCACAACATGCTCTGCCACTCTGCCAGTACGTAAGATAGGGGCCACCTCCTTGCCGTGAGTCTGTTTCTTGTCAGGTCCACGGAAAGTCTAGTAGAACTATGCGGGCCCTACGGGCAGTGCGGGTGCGGAGCCTCTAGAGGCCCAGGGTCCAGCAACGTGGTCGTCTTGGGACAGTAAATTGGTAGACGAAGAATATGCGATGAAGCGAAACGAGTAAGCTGCCAGTTCACTCATTTCAATTCCGCTTTAAGCCGACGTTCCCCGCCCCGCCGTCCTCAGCCCTACGAGATAAGTCCTCTCCATTGGCGTCGTAATGCTGTTTGTATATCTTCGCCTGCCCTTCCGTTGCAATGAAGGCTTTGACAAGCCTGATGCAATTGCTTGACTCATGTCAAGCTCCCCTCCCGCTTCAAATTCTTCCTCACCGAAGTTGCTGGTGAGGTCCACTGAAAGCCACCCCCCAAGATGCGTCTTCGACAACACCCTCGGCGGAGCCAGAAGCGATAACACCTGCAAAGCATGCCTCACCTAACGTACGGCAATCAGTGCCATTGTCGAACTACACGGCCAATGCGTCAGAAGAGAAAGAGTCTGGTGTCAAAGGGAACAGTGAGCTGAGTGAATGCAGCAATGCAAGCACTCCGCGTCTCCACGCACTCAAAATTGGCAGGCACAACCTTGACAGCATGTCAAACGAAGACAAAATGAGTCTAGAAGTAAGCCAGTCGCCTGGGCAAGAGCCGACACCTCTCTTGCTACAATCTGGTAGATCCACTTCCTTACCTTCACGACCAGCCAGCAACTCAGCAGATGGAAGTAAGAGCTTAGGTACTATGCTATTCCGAGAAGAAAATAGTCAACAAACATATACAACATATGAAATATCATCAAAGGAGGATCATGCCTCCAGGGATCGATATACTGAAATGGGTCTTTGGCCTGCACAAACTTCGGCGGAGCTGCAAAACAACGTCGGAGCAAGGCTTGAATCAAAGTCAGCAACGGAACTTCCGACAACCGTTCACTCCTCAGAGCAATCAGAGAAAAAGCCGGATTTTTCTCTGTTGGCACGCGGAGCTCGCGAAGAAGCTTTCTCAGAGCAGAGAACACGAAGCTCAAGTCGAGGAAGCCAGAAGCGAGTCGAGAAAAGTATAGAGGCAATGCTTGCAGATGAGGCGCAAGTTATCAATGCCAGAAGCCGAAAGTCAAGCCACATGCTGGGCCTTTTCAAAGAGAATGCTACCCCTACGGAATCGCGGAAGACTCCACAACCAAAAAAGTCGCCGACCTCTATACCGGACAACTTTCATCGTGCTAGAAGTGGAAGTGCACTTGAAGTTGCGCCCAACGTCGAGCCACTGGATCAGGAACCTATAGGACCTGGCAAGGGTACTGAGAGACATAGAAAATCTTCGAACTCGGAACCCAATTTACGAGCTCATAGCAGCTCACAGGATCCGAATAGCCATGCACAATATCAAATTGACGTGGAGCCTGCCCATTCTTCCCCGGAACAGCCAAAAGTCGCGTATGAAAGCAAAGCCCCAAAGCAGAATGAGACCACATCGAGGAAACGCCTTCCGTCTAGGCTTCTTGAAGAAATACGCCATCACCATAATGTCATTGTACCGTTTCACGACAAGTTCAGAGTTTCGCAAGTCAAGTCTCCGGGAGTATCGACTATAGCAGGCAGGGATCAGGCTGGAGAAAAGATATCCACTGAAGGCCTTGGGTCCACGTTTGAAGAGGTGCACGAAGACGACAGAGAGACCGAAGAAGACGAATCGGATAAGGAACAAATATCGTCTGCCTTGTATTACCCACATCAGCAACCATCGCCTGACGCCTTACAGGATGTGACCATTGGAGAAGCGAGAGAAAAGAAGGAGGGCGAAGAAAACGAAGACTCGAGTCTGCCGGAAGCAGCTTTGCAACTAGATGACGAGCCTGAGACGGCATCTCAAGACGTTGATATACATCTGCAATCGCGCGATCAGAGTCGTTATCTCCATGGTGATCTTCAGCAAGCTAGACAATCTTCGGGGGATATCGTTGACTACAAACAATGGGTGGAGTCAGGCACATCAGCATCGGAATCCGAAACAGAATCCCAAGGCTCCACAAGCCAGACTGACGAATTTCAGAGTACTCCAAGAGCGTCACCTACATCAAAAATTTCATTCTTGCATGCAAAAAAGAAGGAAAGGCCAGCTGCTCCGCTAGGTGCTGTCGAGCTCAAGCCTTACAACCACCAAGTCGGAGGACATACGACCGTGTTTCGCTTTTCGAAGCGTGCAGTCTGCAAACAGCTTACAAGCCGGGAAAACCGCTTCTACGAGCTGGTTGAAAAACATCATCCTGAATTACTCAAGTTTCTACCCAAGTACGTGAGTCTGAAGCGAACGTTGATGCGCCATATTGCTCTCATCGTGGCTTTTCGAGTTTTTTGACTGACAGGCCATCCTCAACAGGTATATTGGAGTTCTGAATGTGACGTTCCGAAAGTCCAGCAAGCAAAAGGCCAAGGAGCAAGCCAAAGATGGAGTGAGTCCGCCACAGCGAAGAGCAGACCTTGATTCATCAAAGAGCCCACCATCAGAAGCTGGGAAGGTCACCCAGGGTACAGATGATCATAGCCGCACTGTCAGCCACTCTCAGCAGAAGGGTCAGGTGCCCCAAGTCATTCTAGCGCAGAATCGGCATATCATTCCCGAAAGCCTTTTCTCACCGACAAAAATCAGCCATGGCATTGGTCTTCGATCGCTCCCTACACCTATCTCGCCCATACTGTCAAGATTAACGGTGGCCTCTGATGCTCGCGTCAAGGACGCTTCGGCAGTAAATGGACACACTCCTGAGACCCGACCTTCTATGCATAGGCATAATATAAGCTGGGGAGCGACTACTGTAAATACTAAATTGAAAGATGAAGTCTTGCGAGAAGTGTTCACTCCTCCCACCATCTATCGTAGTCGTCGTCATGGTCGAAATCATCACTCTTTAACACGAGCTAATAACTCGCAACCAAAGCGATCAATCTTGAGTGATTCCTTGCCGCCAAAAAACAGTGTTGAGTCAGAAGACCGAGGTCCAGACCTGGACAAGATCACGCAGAATGCTTCGGCCGCTTCAGCTACGAAACCTCTCAATCGGCCTCCTTGGAAGCCGTCAATGCTCTTGCCACAGACGGGAACAAGACGCTCGCAGTCAACAACTCGCGAAGATCCAGCCCAACCCAGAGAAGAAAGTCAACCACGCGGTGCTGCCATCTCAGCCACGCGTGCTGTTCGTCGACGGCATTCTGGTAGCGGGCTCCGCAGCAAGCAAATAGATGTCGACAGCAATCAACGAAGTGCGTATGAGTTCTATGAGGATGAAGGTTATGGCGGAGACGAGGAAGATGGAATGTTTGCGATGGACATGGACTCCATGGTTCCTCCGGGACCACGTGACGCGCAAATCAAAGGCAAGGACGAAGAAAGACAAGGGACGTCGAAGGCAACGGGGTCGAACAATCCGAATGCCGTCGCACCACTTACGGAAGCGACCCAATCTAAAGCAGTCCTCTCTGAACAAGAAAAGCCCCTGCCGCTCGCTCGACATCCATCGCTGCCGGCGAATCCTAAGCAGGCTCAGTTACAACCCGATGAGCGTATAGAATTGTTCCTACTCCTCGAAGATCTGACCTCCAATATGAAAAAGCCATGCGTGCTCGATTTGAAGATGGGCACTCGACAATATGGTATCGAAGCAAATGAGCAGAAGAAGAAGTCACAACGTCGCAAAGCTAAAGATACGACGTCTCAAAAACTTGGGGTCCGACTCTGTGGTATGCAAGTTTGGAGTCCCGCTAAAGAAGACTTCATCTTCCTGGACAAATACTACGGTCGCAATGTCAAAGCGGGCAGTGAGTTCCAATGTGCTCTTCGAAAATTCTTCTTCGACGGCATATCTGCGTCGAGCATCATCCCACATGTTGTTGCTTCGCTCGAGAAGATCTCGACACTAGAGGGAATCATCAAAGGCTTGCCGGGCTACAGGTTCTACGCCAGCAGTCTACTCATGCTATATGATGGAGCAAAACCGGAGCCGTCTGAGAATTCAGAGAATGCCGACCTAAGCTCGACAATCAGACTCAAACTTGTCGATTTTGCAAACTGTGTCACAACAGAGGATAGAATGTCTGATTCAGCGCTCTGCCCCCCGCATCAACCGAATGGCATTGACCGCGGCTACTTGCGCGGCTTGAGATCGCTACGGATGTATCTCACCAAAATACTGAAAGAGGTATGGACTGAGAATGGGTTGAATGGAGAAATGGTCCCGATACGACTGAAAGATACCCCAGGTGCGTGGCGCGAGGAAGAGTACGAAGAGGACGATCTTGGTGGCGTGAGTATCTAAGCCTGCTTAATCCTAGTCATGTGTCTGCATGGCCTAGCTGCAGCCGTGCAGGAGTATTGACTCTGCTTGGATCGGGCCGACGAATAGAGGATTCTCATTCCGAAGTTGATACAGGAGACGATGTAGCAAAATCCTGTAGCGTCCTTCTCAGGCCGTTTTCAGCGCCAGAGGTGAAGGTAAGCGGGCGGGTTTCGCTTTGGCTTCAGATGCTGTCCCTTGTTTTTCGGCTCGGAAAAGTGATAAGTGCGCTTATACAATATAGATGAAAGTGATATCTTCCTACCCTATATTGCTTCACTGGGAAGTCGTCAATCTATCTGTTTCACACTCTCGATTGAGGCGGGCTCTTGCGTCGAGGAACAGACCCCCGCTGTGCGAATCCCACATTCTGCCCGGCCAAGACTTGTGATCTTCGCTCTTTAAGACAGTCTGTCTATCACCACACCACCCAGAACACGCTCGATTATTAGTTAACAATTTCTGTGAGCTGGTCTTTCCGTTATATGACCGGAATCTCTTTCCATGTCCATCAGATCAATTTCTCTGAAACAGTTGCGTGACCTCCTCCTTCTCATCCTCCCGGACTAAGCTCGAACTCACGGAGGTATCACCGCGCTTGCTATTCACCTGCTCTACCCCTTCTTTCACCCTTCATCTTTCACCATCATGCTCAACGTCCATGACACACGGCTCGGATCGAGAACGTGCGGCGTGGGAAGTCTTTGCGAGACAAGTTCGTACCTTTTGTAGCGTCATCGACATCCTCGTTTTATGTCGACAAGGGGGTTCCGAGTTGTACATACTCCCCATGTGTTTCGCTGTCGCTTCAGCCATGCCTGTATTGCTTGATCCTGCACTCTTTTCCATCGCTATCGAAGCCGTTTCATGACATGGCATAGGGAACGTCTCAGCAGGATGGGATGTGATGATGAGGAAGATAGAAAAGACCCCAGAATGCCCCGGGCTTTTGATGTCAGTTTGCTGTTCACTATTATGAAAGCTGGCTTTGGAGGAGCCATTTGATGTCTACCGCACACCGTCTTTCTTCTTTCTCAGACTGAATCACCAGCTCAACATCGACTGCGATTCGTTTTCCTCGGCAAATTTGAGCTTCTAACAGAACGAGCCACCCAGCCTCAAAATGCTGAACCACCTCATCATCGCCATCCTCGCTTTCATCACGATGACAATTGCAAATGCAATCCCTCATCCCCTCCCCATACCTCTACCTCAAGGCGAAGGAGGGCCCCAGACTTGTAACGCGACAGCTATGGCGTTGCAGGCGCCTGATTGTATTGTATGTCCCTCCCCTTCCCCTTCGCCTTTCCCCTTCCCCTTTCCCCCCACCCTTCCTCCTTCTCCCATTCCCCATCCCCCTTGCCATTCCTCTTCCCCATCTATCTCCCCCCACTAACCCCCCAATCTAGTACTCCTGCTTCACCACAACACGCCTCAAGCACACGAACTGCGACGAATTCGATTTCGAGTGCCAGTGCACCGGTACGAATGTCGGCGTGTTGAGGCAGTACGTGGGGCAGTGCGTACGGAGTCGGTGTTTGGGTAGCGTGCCGGTTGGAGTGCTTCTAGGTGCGCAGAGGAAGGCGGAGGGCGTTTGTAGGTGTGCTGGGTTTAGTGTTGGGGGGTAGGGGTGGGGGCTGGTGGGGGTGGGGGTGGGTGGAGGGAGTGGGGGGAGGGAGTGTGTGGAGGGAGTGGGTGGAGGGGGATGATAGGGGGAGGGGTCAGGATATGAGATTCGCTCGATTGAATATACTACAGGCTATCATTCAACGCTGTCGCCCCCTGTCGTGGATTGCGGGGCTTAGGGTTTTGGCGCTTGATCTATCCATCTAGATATGCCCATTTTTAATAATTGAAAAGGAAGGGACCTGATTCAAAAGCTGGACGAGCACAAGGGATACGCGATCTCTGATGACAGAGATTACTTCAGTCGCGGCTCAGCAACACGATTTGCAAGGCTTGTCAAAGTCTTCGTAAGACTTCTAACATGGATATGTGTATCCGATGGTGATGTAATTGCCAAACGATATTAAACGACGTCTTCAGGGGTGAAGAAGCTTTGACCCTCCTGATGGCTAGGGCTACGGCTGTCTTAACGCGACAGCGGGCTATATGTCTCGCGTACAGCAATATAATTGGCGTTGACAGTGATGCTTTAAGAATAGAGAAAACACCGAGCCGACAGCCTTCTTAAGAGGCTGCTGGCTTTATCCGCACGAGCGGACTTTTTCTGCCAATGTCTTCAAGAAAACGAGGCTCAAAGCGCAGGTTCTTCAATGAGAATGGGCATGTCCTGCTCACACTCTTTTCCTGCCAATGTCTTCAGGAAACGTTTCAAGGAGACGAGGCTCGAAGCGCAGGGTCTTTAATAAGAACAGACGTGTCCTGCTTGCACTTATCTTCCGCAAGTCTGTTGTCATCTCCAGATGTGTCTTGCCTGGCTTTCGCGACCGAAAACCATGTTCACGCTACTGATGCTCACACTCTTCAGTGCTACTTGGATAGGCGGTTCCGCAGCTTTTCCCCAACCACAACTGAGCTCCATTACTTGCACTTCCTACGACCCCCAAAACGATCCGATCGTGCCCCAAGACTGCTACAACGCCGTCATTCAACTCCCCATTCTCACACACAACAAGGATGTCACCCTAATTTCTAAGGGCGAGCTTCCTGCATTTGGCTTTCTAATAGTACCCACCGTCCTCGTATCCGATACCTGCGCTATCATACCCTCGATCACAAACGATAAAGTTCAAGTCGAGAGCATAGTCCTCACCGATACAGTGGTGCCTATACTCACGGTCTGCAACTCCGGGGGCGGGGGATTCTATACATTCGCCCAATATGGGGGGCAAGTGACTTTGTCCATAACCGGCAGAAATACCGCGCTTGATGCCGCTGCTGCGAATAAATGGGCGACGTATCCGAATGCTGACATTGTGAAAAATCTTACAGCGAAACATCGTGAGCCGGTATTCACTGTCGATGGTGGGAGGAAATCAGGCTCTCCGGGCGATGTACGGGGTCCTGTCGGATAAATGTAGTGTCATACGGTGATTGTTGTACCCTGATCAAGGAATTCCCTTGGCTACTCTTTCTTTGACCTAATCGCCCTACACCAACGATGAGAATGACGGCATTTGAGTGGATCAACATCGCACTGAACGGTCGTGCTTGCTAAGAGCAGCATTTTGATACTGGAACCAGGTTGAATCTAAAGATCAATCAACTCGTCGTCGACCAAAAAAGAAAAAGTCCCCCCTCGGAGTCTCTTATCTGGTCATCAAGGTCATGATCGAAGCCTAACCACCTAATTTCCGACCATTTTAGGATATTGAGGTTTAGATAACTTGAAATGCAAAGAAGGCCTAAATCATCGGTATAAGAGCCTGCACTGACTTTGTCTCCTTCCTCCAAAAATAGACGATTCAGTGACCAATCCGATGTTCTTTCATCAACGAAGAAATTTTGGTGGACTTCTGCACCATTTAAATCAAGAAACAATCCGCCGAGCGTGCATTGGTATCGAGGAGATTTGAGAATTTCGACGATGCCAATAGACGTGTTTGATGAAAACCACGATGCAGCTTTGCGATTTGCCTACTTCCTGCTAAGTTTGATACACGGCACTCGAAGTGCTTGAATCGATCAAGGAACAAGGTCTTCCAGCACGAGTGTGGGATGTTGAGCTCTTTCATTTACGATAGGATGACGTGAAGACCGTGGCATACATCCGTTATTCAGTGGAGCACAATGTCCGGTGTCATTCTTTAAACGTCACTTTTCTTCATTCTTGGTTTCTCTCAGGCCTTGTCTGCCTTGTGCGAAGAAATAAAAATTCGGGCTCCCCTTCTTACGAAGATATTAGCCAAGATTTGGTGAGATACAAGGACCTAACGGCCTCATTGCGGGCAAATAGATACACACCAATTTGCGCCCAATGAAAGTTCACTGAGCATCTATGAGTTGAAAAGGAGTGAACATATGTCTTGGATACTATGCAGCGCTGTTGAAAGGAAGATACAAAACCCAAGAAGATAGTCATAACCAAACACCCGATCAGAGTGCAACTACATAAAAAAAAAACCTCGCAGTTCCCTCATTGAATCTGCATTCAAGATCGACAGTTTGTGTTTTTTCGAGTTGGAAAAGGAACTTAGAGTCTCTATTGCTCGACAAATTGAGCAGTATTGATTTTTTGATAAGTGAATCTGTTGCCATGCAGCTTCATCCTAGTAGAAGTCTCTACACTGGACATAAATGTCTGCACACTACTTCCCCCTGAGCAGGTGGGACATGGTCTGACATCGATGCTCCCTGTATAGTCTGTCCCCCGAGCAGCAAGGGAAAAGAGTCAGAAATTCCCGAATAAACTGTACTGCCTTAGTCAAACGACGGTCTGTTCGCTGATCCTCGATTCTCTGCACCACTAGATCCTCGATGTCCTTCATATAAGGAAAGCTCGATCAGAACCATTGTCGCAAGGCCACAACCCGATACTCATCATCTGCGCCTTCTCCCAAACTCCCCTTGCCAAACAACATGCTTGGAGTATGATACGATAGGCTAGGATATGTTCTCAATCCTGCGCTGTCGATACGGAGAGCATCGACACAGGCGTAGCTCAGGGTATTCCTTCGCCACGAACAGTAACTCAAAACCTTACCTTCTGTGTCCAGGACGTTCTCTTCAAAATTTAGTATCTATTGGATCCCCCAAGCAGTAACACAACACAAAATATGGGCAACACCGGCCAGATCACAGCACGAGTCTTCTGAATCCAGTCGACCTTCTGACTTCTTGAAACATATCGTCGTCGTAGGCGGACGGTGGGAGTTGATCTCGATCCTGCCTTGACCCCCCCACCCCTCCCCTGGTAGGATACATTACCTAGGACTTGCTCTGTCCATAGCAATTTGGACATGGCGTTGCTACTGAAGCTTCCACCACCCCCCATCAGAAAATGCCCATGACATAAAGAGCACTCGACCTTATCTCAGAGGTTCTAAATTCGAATGCCCTGCCTAGGACGAGTATAGTAAAGTGTACTTAAATTGCCAGCTCCGCCACGGATCCATCGCTCTTCTTTAGCGACATTTTCTGCGGGCTTCCGCTGCCTAGCGAGCACAGGGCGAGGGGGGGTGCATCCTTCGCTCAGCCTCCACGTTTCAGCACCTTCGTCTGCTGTGTACAATAATAAAGCCAGCTTCATCCTCCTACATATTGAATATCCATCTTAACATACAGGCTAAAGCCGGCCGGTGTATTGCGTCGAGATCGGGTCTGATATGGCTACATTCGCTATCCAGAATTACCCCTGAGGTCCCATTCGCGGTCACAGAATACAATAGTAGCCATTGTTCGATGGCCACCGAGCCAGGCTCATGGACGCCCTGGTCTCAAAACCAAGCATACACTTACGCGCCCGTGGCATCCTCGAATGAAGTGGAGCTGCACTCCCTTGCGCCCACACCGCCCTCATCGACCACACCAGCCCGTCTCGCAAACCACAGCAACAACAGCCCCTTCAGCAACGACGATGACTCGCCCGACCCCGACGCCTCCCCTCTCCTCACCCCTCGCAAGCACAACGACCCTCACACGCCCACCACAAAACCCCCAACCAACTCCTCCCCCGCCCCCAGCCGCCGCCCAACCCAGCGATTCTGGCACCACATCCCCTTCACCGGCTGGCGCGTCGGCGTAACCTGGTGCGCCCTCGCCGCTTCCCTCGTCCTGCTGACCAACACCCTATGTACGATCTCCCTAACCCTAACCCACAGCACCACCTCCGGAATCGGCACCTTACAATCCGGCTCGTGCGCCTCCACAAAACAACTTTCCCTCTGGTTGCATCTGCTGATAAACGTCCTCGGCACCATTTTGCTCGCGGGCTCGAATTACTGCATGCAAGTGCTCTCGGCGCCGACGCGTTCGGAGGTGGACAAAGCGCACGCGCGTGGGAAGTGGTTGGATATCGGCGTCCCCTCGGTGCGGAATTTGTGGTATGTGGGGAAATGGCGGGGAGTAATCTGGGTTTTGCTGGGCACGAGTGGCGTGCCGTTGCATTTGCTGTACAACAGCGCGGTGTTTTCGACCCTGGCGCATCATGGGTATGAAGTCTATGGCGTTGCGGCAACGGTGGTGGAGATGGGCCCGGAGACGGATCTGAGCAGGTTCTTTCCGGAGAAGATCAATAAGACGGTTTATGCGGCGCCGGAAACGCTGAATATTCCGCTGAAGGATATGTGGGGCTGGGAGAGGTTGGGGAATAAGGAGTGTGTGAGGGCGTATGGGCAGGCGTTTATTTCGAAACGCGCGAATGTGGTGGTTGTCACAGATGCGTTGGGGACGGGGGAGGGGCAGGGGGGGAAGGAGGAGGGGAAGGGGGAGGAGTCGATCTTGTTTGTCGGCGAGAGCGATCAGGTCGGTCAGGGCCCCACGTATTCGTGGCTCTGTGGTGCGTATGCGGGCAAGAAGGAGCATACGACCGGTGGGTGCGATCTTGATGCGCTGGCGGGCGTGGCGGATAAGTGGCAGGTGAAGACGCCGACGGGGGTGTATTTGCCCGCTCAATATTGTCTGAGCCAGCCTGTGGAGGAGCACTGCACGGTGCGCTTCAGCGTTGTTATCATGTGTGTCGTTATTGTGACGAATTTGGTCAAGGTGGTCTGTATGCTGGCTATCTTGCGACTCCAGAGGGACGCGCCGCTCGTCACCCTCGGCGATGCCGTGCAGTCTTTCCTGAATAGAAATGATCCAAAAACGGTGGGGAAGTGTTTGGCTGATAAGCAGCGCTTCATGCATCAGGATTGGCGTATGATTCCGCAACAGTGGCGGAAACAGAGACGGCTTCAGTGGTTCTCGGGTGCGAGTCGGGCTCGTTGGCTCATATGCAATATTCTGTGAGTTGATTCCCTCATGTCTATTTCGAGCATGCCCTCTTCATGAATTTTAGTGAGACGCCTGCCTGAAGAGGCATGAGCGAAGCACGACCGCTGACATTACGCAGTTGTACACTGACTCTTCTCATCGCCGGCGGGCTCCTAGCACTGGCCATTGAAAACGACAGGCTGAGCAACAAAAGCCTTGCATATCTCTGGAAACTGGGCTTTGGCGCCGTCACGGGCGAGTCGATAACGCAACTTTTCTATTACGACATGGAGAAGGCTAGCGCGCTCTATGGCACAATCCTGGTCGCCAATAGCCCACAGACGATACTCTCCTTCCTCTTCCTGACATACAACAGTCTGTACACCTGTATGCTCCTCTCGCAAGAATGGTTCGACTACGCCCGCGAGCGCAAGAGTCTGAGAGTCACAGATCCAGTCGGCAAGCAGCGATCAACGTACCGCCTGCAGTTGCCTTACAAATATGGCATCCCTCTCGTGGCATTATCCGGCCTTTTCCACTGGCTTGTGTCCCAGAGCTTGTTCCTGGTCAAAGTCACTGGGTATGACAAAGAGGGTCAGGAATCCGGTGACTATCAATCCCTCACTGCGCTGGGTTACAGCTGCATAGCCATCATCACCGTCATCATCCTCGGCTCTGTCACGATTATCACGGGCATTGCGATGGGGTTTCGTCGGTACAAACCAGGGATGCCGCTAGCAGGCAGCTCCAGCGCCGCTATTAGCGCTGCTTGCCATCAGCCCCCGAGGACGTGTCTACTGCTCAACTTCCTCTGTTGTGGGGTGTTGCGGAGCAATCGGCGGAGTTGAAAGGTGACCTTGGTCAAGCTGATCCGAGAATCTCTCTGGTGGGACACTGCTCCTTCACGAGCTTGCCAGCCGTGCCGCCTCTTGAGGGGTATTTCTACGCAGGTAGAAGTAGTCAGGGGGAGGAAACGTCTTGAGTTGGCTTTCAGATCTTACACACATAACAATAAGCGTTCAAGTATTTCCTAACATGCAATCAACCCGTTGAGTGCCCAATGTCACTTCTCGCAACGGTATAGGCTAGCCAGCTGCGGTCTCTTCTCCTTGATGGAGCATAGCTTGTTGGTAGTGGTGGAAGCTCCGCCCTGCGAGTAGCCTGGCTTGCTTCCAATGCCTCCAATCCTCCGTAATATTGCAACGCTCTTGTAGACTCCATCTCAGCGTCACTGACACGGTACTCGTTGACGCTGCTGTTTGTGAGAGAAGGCAGGGAACCCATCATAGCCGCTACATCGAAAGGCTCGGATATCGTTGGAGACGCCGAGAGTTCCGGCACGGATGGAGTCGGGAAGAGGGTTGGGACTTGGGGAGGATGGGAAGCCAGAGGGTGTTGGTGAGGCTGTGGATATGTTCGCGCGCTATGAGAGGTGTTGCCCAGTTCCATTGGCGATCGTAATGCTGAGGCTTCTGGAATATGATGGCCTAGAGTTGGCACTGTATCTGAAGTTGCTGCTGAATAAGGCAGAGGGGACGGTCGCACTGGTTCTGTGAACGAAAGGCGGGCTTGATGATATATATCGAGGGCTTCTTTTGCGAACGTGTCTTGAGAAGGCTCCAGCAGCCGTACGTCTGTTAGACTGAGCGAGCTGTGCTGACTTATGGTAGGCGACGAGGGTATTGAGAAAGGCGGGCTGGTTGTGACATCACTGCTCTTGACACTCGCGAGACTCTTCGTTCGCTTCTTCCTCCAATTCAGGATCGCTTCCATCTCTGGGCTGTATGGTGGCGGCTGCTCTTCTTTTCTTGTTCCTTCCATAGGTGTGATGACCACAACGTCTTTCGCGTAAAGTCCCCCAACCACTGTCATGAGAGACTGATGGCAGATGCTCAGCCTGTTGTGCTTGTCCCTGACTTTTGGACTGTCTCTGAATACCCAGAGGATTCTGTTCCACGATTTCACGCTGTCTTGTGTCATGACATCGACTCTTGCAGGCTCGATGAGGTGCGCAACCTCACGCAAGGCTCTCTCGGTATCCTCGATCACACGATCCATCCAAATGCGCTCATCGTTGCTTATGAGCGCAGTCTTCAAGCGCCGTAGTCGACGGGCTTCATTGACGTTTCGATCGACGTGCTCTGTGGTTCTGAGGAGGTCGGTCGTCTGCTCGCCCACAGCCTTCAATTGGTAAGTGACTTCGAGGATCTTTATAGACGAGTTGACGCCCGACGCTAGGGCAGTGACAGGGTCGATCGACATTCTGCTGCGATTCAGCAAGCTCAATGACGTCTCTTTCTCGTGGCGTCTGTGTGTTTGATGCTCATTGAAGCCGGCCCCGTACGCGTATCAGATGCATCGAGGGAGAAGTGTAGATATGCAGTAGAGTTGAGGTTCAGGGCACAGCATGGTAATTGGCAGATTGAGCTAAAGATAGCCCCTCCATGAAAGCATGGCGCAAGAGGCTGGATCGAACGTCTAGTCTAGGCCTCGCCCGTTCGTTTCTCGGGATTCTAGACGGTTCACGCGGCATGGTTGCATATACGAGCGACTCTGTGCCTGCAGGTGGTTGTATCTTGCATTCACATGGTAACATCATGAAACCCCCATTCCCAGTTCCCCATACGCGAAGAGGGGCTCATTTCAAAGAGGGAGGGGGATTGAAGAGGGGCTGAGCGTGTTCGTCCCGGGATAGCAATCCTTCATGCATGTGAAACCAATCAAAACATTCAGCACACTGCATGAAAGTGGAGCTTCAGCCTTGCGTGAAAATAGTCCGTGTACAATTGGACAGAACCTAGAGGAAATTGACGGCTTGAATCTTGGCGGAGCTAATCGTTCTGTTTTGGTCTGGCAAAATTATATAGTGGCTTTAATTAGCCTATCACACCTGGTCGAATCGTTCTTTAGTCGAGCCACACCTCCTCTCCGCTACACCTTTTGGTATCCTGCGTTGACTAGTACCTGAGGTTTCGATAGTACTTGAGCCTTCTCATCTGTAGTCTTGACCAATGCCGGGGCAATGCAGATCTTACCCGTGCCCACTTCAGCCTGCGTGGGAAATTGAAATTGGAGGTCTACAGGCTGAGATTGTAAGAAAATGCCTAAGTTGGCGGCATCTTTTAAGATGGCAACGAGGCTACCAACTCGCTCGTCATCGCCGTGCCTTGGGCTGGACCACTGCGCAAAGGCAAAAAGGAAATTTTGACAGATATTGTCGATCTGCCTGTCGCGTTGTACGATGTATGCCTGGTCGGATGCAGAATCCGGGCGCAAGTATGCTGTCAGCACCCGCCATTGAGAGATAGCTTGCAGGTAACCTTATGCGTCTCAGCTCTCGTTTTCAGTCATATATGAGGCAATATCAATTTGCTTACCTGGCTTTTGAGATGAGCTATTGCGTGTGCGCTTTAGTGCTCTTGGAAGTGTTATGAATTCCTCAGGAAGAAGAGTAGCGTCAGAATTCTCCATCGGTAGAAGTGACGTAGTAATGAAGTAGGCGAGACCATGCTTGATGAAAGGAGTGCTCCGCGTGGCCTGTGACAGGAGAGTGGAAAGAGCGTTCTCTAAGAAGGGCGAGTTGAAAGCAGTCAAATCTGCAGAAGCCACTTTGCTGCCCGATTTGGGAGAGTCTTGGTAGAAGTTCTCAACGTAGAGCTCGATTTGATCTAAGAGTGTTTTCGCTTTGGTTTGTACAGTCCTGTCGTCAGCCGCTTGAGGGAGAAAGCTCGGTATCGCGCTTGATGACGCCTCGGAGACTTCATATGGATGAGATGAGAACCCTTTCTCGTTCCGTGAAGCTCCTGCGGGCGCTGGGATACTCTTCGACTGTCCTGTGGTTTTCTTGCGACGCATGAGAAGGAAAGTAACAAGAAAGGTGATCAAAGCTAGTCCAATGGAGGCTCCTATCACAATCCCAGCTACGGTACCGTTGGCGAGTCGAGAGTCATGCGGTGTCATTGTGGGTTGCGCCCCGGAGGTTGTCGTGCCATTCGAATTGGTCGTCGGCTTTGGTGTCGTGGTAATCGAGCTTGACTGTCGACTTGTTGTAGAGGAGGCTTGGTTTGGTTGAGTCATTGACGATGTCAATGGTATACCATTTGAATCAAGTGTTTGTGTGGCGGCATTAATTGTCCGCCCAACGCTGTCAGTGGGCGTTCCTAAGGTATTCACAGTCCATCCATGGGCGTCTGTAGGCTTGCCCTCGGAATTGACTGGTTGGTTGAGAGAATTTACAGAGACCGCGGGAGCGGCAGACGACATTGTAATCGTATACTTGAATGTAGGTTAATGGCAAGGACAACTTGCGAGAACAGAAAGTTTAAATGACTCTCTAATGGAAACACCAGATCGCATGATCAGAGGGAAGGAAGAAGAGTTTATTTTCGACAGATTCTTGCAAGAAGCCTCGTACCCGTTTCAGCCTCCGACCTCTGCGCGAAATCGAGAGCACGTCTGGCTCTCGGAGATTGAGGCACTGCTCAGAAGGATCCGGCCCCCAGAAAACCACCATATGCAGGACTAGCAAGCGACTAACCGAGAGTGATAATGTAATTTCTTGATTGGTCGTCTCGAGCAGGGGGGTCGGAAGCACAAGGCTGAGCACCCACACCACCATCCGGCAGCGCTAATCTCCTTGGTGATTGATTGTTTCCACATCGCCAAATTGCCATTCTCATTCAAGACCCCCAAAGCGAACAGGCACAGACGCATTGCTCAGGCAGCTATGCAGTCCGAAGAATGGCACCCAGAAATCGTCGTAGGCGTGGACTTCGGCATGACATGCACAGGTGTGCTCAATAGCGTCACCCCATCCATTGTCTCGCGCTAATCGCGCATCCTGCGCGCAGGTGTGGCATACTCCACCGGCCCAGAATGGGCTGAGCCCAAAGCGATCCAGCACTGGCCTGGCAAGATGATAAACGAGCTTGCCAACAAAGTCCCAACATTACTCCAATACGTGCCAGGCACGCGATCGGTCAAAGCCTGGGGGTTTCTGTGCGATCAGGAAAGCGAGGATGTGCTCGACTGTTTTAAGCTTCACCTGGATCCCACGTTCATAGATCCAAGGCCCGACCCGCCGAGCCTTGAGCAAGCCAGGCAGTGGTATCGCGATTATTTGCGGTGTATTCATGATCATGTTGAGGAGACTTTCTCGAATTCTTTTCCGAGGTGGCAGACGCAGAATGCGGAGTTTATCTTCAGTGTGCCGACTACGTGGAAGAATCCGAGTATGATTGCCGAGACGCAGAGGCTGATCAACGAGGCGGGCTTTGGACGCGATGGACCGGATCATCGAGCCACGATCTCTTTGACGGAAGCTGAAGCAGCAGCCGTTTATGCCTCTAAGCAGCGCTATGAGGTGAGTGATCACTAGATCTACTTGCATCGGCGACTGATCAAGCGTACAGAGGGACGATGTCATCCTTGTCTGTGATGCTGGCGGAGGGACAACGGTAAGCATTGTCCTCTTTGGCGCTTTGACGAGCTTCCTTACTAATGAAACATGCTTCAGGATGTCAATGTACTCAAGCTGATGTCCACAAGGGGCGAGCCGACTCGGCTGCAGCAGCTGAGTTGGGTGGAGGGTAGGCTCTTTTCGTTGCACACGTTCGTTTCGTAGAGACTTACCAATGGTAGGGCATCCCGTTGGCTCCACATCAATCGACATGAGTTTTCACCAGATCGTATCGGAGAGATTGAGACGGATACAGGACAAGCTGCTGGAAGACCCAGACATCGTTGCAGACCACATGATGGAAGGCCGATTCGAGCGATTCAAGTGCTCTTACGGGACAGCAGCTTCTGCATCCATACCGAATCTCATACTTGAGGTGCCTGGTTTAGCGCATGGCTACGACTTCCCAGACTCTGGGATCATTGATTCAAAGATGATTCTCTCAAGGTTTGATGCTTCGATCTCTTATTCGTCGGTCAGGTCGCTGATATGAGTTGAAGAGAGGAGCTTCGGGAGTTGTTCGACGTCCAGATATCGAAGATCATCTCTCTAGCCGATGAGCAATTCGATCGAGTCAACGCCAGTCATCCCACGACACACATCGTACGGAATAGCCATACTGTTTCGCGTGCCTGTCGGCTGACACCTTGATTAGTCATACTTGGTTCTTTCTGGTGGTCTCGGTAGCTCCGTCTATGTGAGGGAGCGGCTCGCAGCCCATTACGGCACTGGATTAGGCTCCTCAAAACCTGGAGCACAAGGCATGCGAATAGCGACCGTCGCCGAGCCGTACGTCATCGCTTTATGCGTGTACAAATGGTTCGCTTGACTAACGAAGTGCAGACAACTTGCTGTCGTTCAGGGACTAGTAATGAACCGTATCCAGTCCTTGAGCCGCAAGACCGAGATATTCAGTGAACGTTGCTGTCGTCTAAGCTACGGAGTAGTCTGCATGGAAGAGTACAAACCCGACATGCCAAAGCATTATGGCCAACACGTCAAGGTAGATCCCAGAGACGGAAGGAAATGGGTGGAGGACCAGATCTCCTGGTTCGTGAAGCAGGTAAGCTTGAGACTGGACTTTCCACGCCTGCAAATCTTGCTTACGTGAGATAGGGCGCGGTCGTCCCCAGCGCCGGCGTAATGAAACCCTTCACGCTCAAAGTCAAGCCCGGCGAAGAAGCCGAACCCTGGACGACGCACATCGTGATGTCGACGAATCCTCAAGATAAGTTGCCCAGCAACACGCTGCAGGATGGTTCAACGCGATTGTGCGACGTCTCCTCGATCCTGAAGGGCAAGAACATCGACATGAAGATGAAGAATCGGCATTGGTATAGTCGCGGGGATAAGTATCTGAGATTACGATTTGACATCAAGGTAGTGTTTGGTCCTGCTGATCTCAAATTTGTGTTGCAGACGAAGGATCAGAGGGTCTTGAGTGATGGGCACAATTCCATTGAGGTTGCTTGGGAAGTGCCGAGGGAGGTGGTGGAGGGGAGGGGGCGGGGCGGGGCGGAACTCTACTCGGAGCGTATGTGAGCTTGCGCGAGGATGAGGAAGGGAGGGGATGGACTGTGTTGCTGTACGAGTATGAAGAATGTGACAAGAATCAGCAGGTGAGAATTGGGGCTGCGGTCTTACGGGTGCGACGTCCTATCCGGATGAGGTCATTCGTAAAACTTGAGGCTCGCCTTAGTCGAGCACAACTCAGAGCACAACTCATTCAGTCTACCCTTGAAAATCCAATGTGTATAGAGCAGCACACTCATAACATACTTGCCAATGCTCTCACCGAGAGCATTCCCCCTCCGACATTGACTCAGATACATAAATCAGCATATCCCATCATATTAGCAATGTCTGAAGGGCGGTACTATGGCTATTCCCCTACACATTCATATGAGGCCAATCACTTAAACTTTTATTTTACCCACGACGTTAGCGGAATTATGAAAGATCTGATAAAACGAAAGCGTCGAGGCATCCGCCCTGTAAGCAAAATCACGGACACCCTCCCGACGACCACTCATTTAAGATGTCCTACAAAGCCAGATAGAATCTCAAAACCTTCCCCAAACACGTGTCAACATGTCGAAACTCGTTTCATGCAGGCTCGTTTCAGAAGTCTCACTGCGGCGCAGGCTTACGGTGGCATTGCAGCTGAGCATTTCAGCCTGATACCGTAGCCTTGGCTCCGAAATCCCAAAACCCTCCGTGTTCTTTTTCTTCACAAATTATCTGAACAACACTCCCTTCTTATCTGCTGCGTATTTGAGCACTGGGATCGAAGCGTACGTAGCGCGGAACAAGGAACCGACTTGGTCAAACCCAGAAACTTGGTTTGTGCCTTCATACGTCATCGCTACCTCACTCATCCGCCCACCTATCTCTCCTGTTTCTCTTCTCCGCCTTTCCGTATTCATCGAGATTGTATGCAAATTTACCAACCCACTTTGGCTGATGCTAACATCGACGCTTCTCAGACACCAGTAGCAGCGATGCAGCTCACACCCATCCACCACCTCCTCCCACCAACCGCAGACGCGCCGGTCAGGTTCAGCACACCAAAACGAGTAGACAGGCTCAAAGCACTGCAATACATACTTATCCTCACGATCCTTACGCTTGGCACATCGAGGGAGATGTATAAGAAGGTCTACGCGCGGCAGAAGCTGGACTGGGCTGATTGTATGCCCCACCCCCTACCCCACTCCGTTTTCCCAACGAAGGAGGGAATGGTTGAGTAATGTTTAACTGATACTAACCATTCATGTGTAATACACAGACGTGTGTTTATTCGCGCTCGTAAGTAAAAAACGATCGGATATTGTATTGCTAAATGAGTGTGTACATATGCTAACAGTGATGCTGCGAAAAGGTCGGGTTATGGCGTATCCAGCGCACGAGGTGCTGGGCGGGGAGGACGGGAGTGAAGGTGCTTTGAACCCGACCAAACCCAGCCCAACACCAAAACCTCTCGTCTTGCCCATCCACTCCACCCCGCCCCGCTCCAACCAGGCCCAGCCATCTTAGGCCAAATCCCGCATCAACGGCAGCCTCGCTGTCGTGGCTTATGTCTGTGCGCTCTCATACGACAAGACGCCATGACATTACGTATAGCCCACCCCACCTCACCCTCACGATCCCACCTGCTACCATCTCACCCCCCCATCAACTCACGTCAACTCCTCAACACACCTTCTCACCTCCGCCCCAACCTCCTTCAGCAGGCCCATTCCCCCTTCCCCACTCAACGCACCCCTATCAACTCTTAGAATTAAATCCACGCAATTGCCCTCACTGTTCCGCGTGATATCAAGGAACACATTCTCGTCTGCTAGATAGCGCGTGTCCAGCGCATCTATGGTGGTTTTACCGTCTGTTCTTTCTGTCGGGATGAGGGATTCAAGGGATGATGCAGGAGGTGTATAAGGGACCCATTCGGCCTTATCAACTCCTCCTTGTCCGTCAATAACAGCAGCAGAAATGTCTGAGGTATCAGCTGTAGTAGGGGTGGTGCTGCCGGTCAGGGATGGAGAGGGAGAGTGCCAAAGGATATTCACCCATGTGTTGAACAGCGGCTCAACCCCTAACCCCCCTCCGACTACATCTTGAAGAAAACTCTGCTCATACTTCGACCGCTCGGCAAGATCCTCCTGCACGCTCTCCACCACCTCCCGCACTCCCTTTTCACGCACATTCTTTACAGTCATGGGCAGGACGTTCAAGCACGGGAACGCCACCTCATTGGCCCCACCCCCGGCCAACCCAGACGGGCCCATCTGATAAATCCCAAAAATCGGACTCCCCACCCCCACCCACCTCGCAAGCACACGCGCGAAAGCAACAAGCAAGACGGTCGGGACCGATACACCGACATCCCGACATGTAGTCTCCAGCGCGCGGAGGGAGGGGATTTCGTGATTGAGGAAGAAGACCTTCCCCTCCCCCTTCCATCCGCCGGGATCAGGGAAGCTGAGGAGCGCAGCACAGTCCTCTCGCCCCCCTCCATCCTCCTCCGCCAAAACGCACGACTCTCTTCCCGTGCGATCTCGAGGGCGGATAGGGTAGATTGGACGAAGCGGTTCACTGGCTGCAGCGGCGGGAGAGTCTGCTGATGATACAGAGCAGCGAGGTCAGACACCAGTCCTTCGATAGTCCAGGCGTCGTAGAGCGCGTGGTGGAGATGGAGTAAGATGAGCGACTGATCACCCTCGAGATCTTGTATGAGAACCAGACGCGCGGGAGGGGTGGAGAGATCGAATAGCGCCGCCGCTTCGGCTTTGATGTATTCTTCGACTCCATCTCCCTCCCTCATCTCCTTGCCCTCACCCTTAAGCGTTGAACAACGGAAAGACATATCATCCCCCTCCCCATCCCCATTCGAAGCTTCCGGGGTCAAGACAACTTGCACCACCTCTGTGGATGAGGTAGCTACAAACACCGTCCTCAACACCACATACCTCTTCCTCAGCCCCTCCCACGCAGCGCGCAACTTTCCATCATCAATCTTCTCAGCAACGGTATACGCAAACGTAGCTTCCCGCAACGTCCGCCCTGATTTCAACCAGCTCGCCAAATGATACACTTGCCCGGGGAGGCAGGGGAGGAATTCCTCCACCTCCCCCTTCCCCACACCATCCACACCACAAATCCTCAACGCCGCCCTTTTCGCACCTTCTGAAACTAAAACTCTATCATCAAGGCCTTGGGCGTGCATGGGATTGTTGTGGTCAGGATTGGGATGGGAAGTGCGTCGGCTCCTTACAATCCGCAAAATCCCCCGCACGCTCCGGCCTAGCAGGATATCAGCGACGCTGACATCGAGCCCGCTTTTACGGCACTTCGACGCCACGCCGATGGCGGAGATTGAGTCGATACCTAGTGCGAATATCGAGGTGTCCATTTCGATTTTCGATGCGGGGAGTTCGGAGAGTGCAGCGCGAAGGACATCTACCTCTTCAGAAGGGAATTCTTCTACGGGGCCAGAAGGCGAAGGCGATGGCGAATGGGAGGGGGAGGGGGAGGGCGGTGGCGACAAAGGCAGCTCCGCCAACGTCTCCGGAAACGCGACCACGGGTCTGTTGGGATGCAGCAGGATATCATTGAAGATATCCTCGTAGCGCCGAAGCCAAGCTGCTGCGTCGTCTATCAGACGCGAAGACGAAGAGAGGAGAAGACGCACGGTCTCGTCGTGCTGCTCAATTTCGAAGTTGATGGGGTATTCAGCCCCTTCCCCGTTCCCATCCGCGTCTATATCCAACACCCTCCACAACACCTCCTCCTCCTCCTCCTCCAAAACCGCACGCTTCTGAAACAAAAAAATCGCATTAACCAACTCCTTATCTGCGTTCCCCCCATCACCACCATCAGCAGCAACAGCCCGCCGCCATCCCCGCTGCACATCCCCCAGCGCCACATGCTGATACCCCTGCGCCTCCCCCGTGAAAGCCTGGATCATGCCCGCGATCGCTTTGTTAGTTGCGTAGGTCTTGTCGAAAGTGAGGCGGAAGGGGACGGTGTTGAAGAGGGGGCCGATGACGTCGTTGGCGTTGGGTGGGTTGGGTGGGTGGGCGGGTGGGCGGGAAATGGGGGAAAGGGGAAGGGGGGAAGGGGGAGGAGGGGAAGGGGGAGGTTGCGCCCACCCACGACATGCCCAAAGACCACATCCCTCCTCCCGAGTGTCAAGGCCAGGGATTTTGCGTACGCGAGAAGCAGGGTCGATTGCAGCGTTACGCCGAGCTGTTTGCACCGGGTGGAGATTTGCGTGCGGGGCATGTGGAGGGTGTGCCGGGCTGTTTTTGCGACAGACGGAGACAGGGATGGGGGCTCGAGGCCTGTGAACCCGTCGAGTGACCGCAGCCAGAAATCTGCGGCGTTGGTGGTGGTGGTGGCGCGCTGGATTTCGACGGCGGCTGAGCTGAAGGGTGGGCGTGCCGGCAACTCGTTTCCAAGGTAGAGTCTGGCGAGATCATCGAAGAGGACGCCGAGCGATTCGCCGTCGTATAAGGCGTGATGCATTGATAATATCATAGCGTCGTCATTCGTGAACGTGAGGCGCCAGGGAGGGAAGCTGTAATCCTCCGCCTCGCGGAAGCGGAAGGTAGATCGAAGCTGCGATATGGCCGCCTTAGGACTGTCGGGTTTGTTCCATGTGATGGGGCTGTTTTTATGGTGCTGATGTACGGCGGCAATCCACGATGATGCGGTTGAGGAGAGGTGGAAGGACGTTCGCAGTATTTCCGTATGGGTGACTAGATCGCGCCATGCTTCCTCTAGTCGTTCGTGGTTGAGGTCGGGTGAAAGGCGTCGCGCGTGGTGATGGACGTACATAGTGCCGTCCGAGCCGAGTGTTCGGGTTAGCATTGATGACTGTAGAGGTGTGCAGGGATATGTCGTTAGAATCTTATCGTGAGGGCTCAATCGAGCGGTCTGGCTCAGCTGTTCTAAGTCTCTTGAATCTTCGTCTACTGTAGTAGCTACCTTGGACTTCGTTTCTGTAGCAGAAGTAGTCCGTTGGGCCAATTTTGCGATGCACGGGTATCTCATTATATCTGCTGAAGAGCACTGGATGCCTTTCTGTCTCAAACTCTTCGCGAATCGAATAGCGCTGATTGAGTCGATGCCGAGACTGAAGAAAGACGCCCCCTTGGAGACGCTGTCAGGAGGTAGACCGGTGATCTCCACGACGACGTCTCTCAATACTAACTCCCTTTCGCCCCAAGTAGTTTCATCGTACTCTTCTATGTCTTCCTCGCCTGACGCACTGACACCCAAGTCGCCCACTCTGATCGTCTCGCCTCTAGCCAGTGTTGCGAGAAGAAGATCCATATTCTCCAGAAATAGCTCTACCTGCTCTGAACCATCTGGAGCTATTTTAGAGACACAGCGGAACAGAAAGCTGTCACTGTCCACATCGGCTTCGACTTCTAACGCAAAGGGGAATTCACTCGGGACAGAACTCTCGATCTCCCACCAAAGCTGTGACCAAGGCGCAGGCTTCCGTTTCTGAACATATGAGAAGAGGCAGTCGAACTGCGGCTTCTCTGCTTTGACCCAGCGATGGATGTCGCGGAGGGCTGTATGTTGGTACTCGAGGGACTCGACGAAACCGGCTTGTGCAGTCGAGATGGCATCTGAGATACTAGAGGGGTTCTGGTGGCGGAGGGTGACTCTTTGCGGGATTGTTGTGATGCAAGGCGCGAGAATTGTGTGCGGGTTTTCAATAGGTATTGTACGGCCTGAGTAGACTGTGCCGAATACTACATCGTGCTTATTCAGATGCTGGGCGAGGACGATGCCGAAGATTGCTTGGAGAAGGGATGCGGGTGTGCCTTTCATTGAAGCAGCAAGCTGTTCTATCTGTGCGAGTCTGGTGGTGGACGATCGCGCAATCTCTCGAGTCGAAGCTTCGCCGGCAGATGCTTGGAGGGTAGTTGGCTTGTAGCCATTTAAGTATCTTGTCCAAAAGTTCTTTGCCTCTTGCTTGCTCTGAGCCCACACGTGTGTTACCAGCTGGGAGAAGGTGGTTCGAGGCTGCAGACCAAGGGACTGATAGCGAGAATACACTTCGTCAAGTATCATGGGGAAAGATTCTCCGTCATAGAGTGCGTGGTGTATAGATACTAACAGCATCGCATCTTTGTCAAGAGCCTGTGACATTGCCAAATGGAATCGTAATGGAGGCTGATCTGTCAAACGTTCTAAAAGAGCCAAAGAAGTCTCGCTCTCCCTCTCCTTGAGAGCGGGCAACAAGTCCTCTGACGCTGGAACAATAATGTCCGTCCAATGAAATTGGCAATCTTGAAGGACAATTTGCACGAAGTGATTTTCAAACTCCCCAAAACAAGTCCTGAGAATATCATGATTCGTTACAGTATCCTGCCACGCTTTGCGCAGCCTCTGCAAGTCTACATCCTCTGATATCTGCAGAGCCACATGATTCACGTAGAGCGCCTGACTTGTTTGAGCGAACGAGCTGGCCACCAATGTTTCCTGCAGAGGCAGACAAGGTCTGACAGCGCGTATGGGCGTTTGCTCATATTGTGATGCATGCTGCTCTAAAAACCTCGATTCCAAATCACTGAGCTCTTCGAGAACGGCATGGGATTTCTTGATGCTGAGATCCTTCTGAGGCAAAAGCGCAAGTTGTTCTATGAGCGGATGCTTCATGACTGACGTAACGCTACAATCGAGACCAAGCTTCTGCAGTTTGATAGTTAGGCTGATGGCACTGAGACTGTCAAGTCCGACTTGAAATAGATTCGTTGTTGGGCTCAACTTTGTGTCTTTGACGTCAAGTGTGCTCGTCACGATGTCCGCGAGTTTCCGCTCGGTCTCATTCAGCGGTCTATCATCCAATGTGATCGAAGATTTGCTGCTGAGAAGACTCTCGATTGGGATCTCGGCGAATAAAGCAGTGAGCCGCTTCGCATCCACTTTCCGGGATACAATGGCGACAGGAAGTCTTGTGAGAGGAATGATGTGGTCCGGGACCATGAAAGCAGGCAGGGTCTTGCGACATATCGACCGGATCTCGTCAACGATTCTGTCATCCGAAAATGAAGTAACGGCAATTTTCTCCCCATTGATCGTCTGCCGAGAAGCTACAAACACAACCAGCTGAGGTTTAGGCATCGAGATATGTTCGGCAACGATGGCCGCGACATCCACGTTTCTAGCCTTCAGTGTTGATGTCGCAGCTGTTCTCACGGTTTCTGAGACTTCTCCGAGCTCGAGTCTCTGGCCGCGCACTTTTGTCTGGTCATCACCTCGGCCTAGAAAATCTAGTGAGCCATCTGCCATAAGCCTCACAATGTCGCCTGTACGATACATTCTCTCGCCTCTGAATTCGTCGACAAAGCCTTTGGCATCAGGCCGGTTGTGGTACCCGTTGGCTACGAGATCACCAGTGAGGCAGAGCTCGCCCGCTGTGCCACGAAGTGTGTAGTCCAGAGTATCGGGTTGCAGTACATGAGCTTTAGTGAAAGACAGAGGAGGACCAATATTTCTGAGACTCATACTAGGCGCGACTTTCTGGAAACAGCAGCCTATGGTCGCCTCTGTAGGTCCGTAGGCATTGACGAGCGTCACACGAGGGTGGCCAGCCCAGGTATCAATGACGCGTTTCGAAATCATTTCGCCACCGACAGTGAGGTATCGCAGATCAGGCAGTGTGGAAGGCTGCAGACCAACGCTATCGATCAGAGAGGGAACAAAGCTTGCATGCGTAATCTTGAGGGCGCGGAGCGCCATTTCGAGGCCGTCAAGTAGTAAGGAACGAGGTGCTGTCACTGTGGCCATTCCATGCCGCCACGCTGTGAACATCTCTTTGAGGTGGACATCAAAGGCGTAGCTTGCGAGACCGAGGTATTTGCCCTTCCCCTGCAGCTGTGACATGTTATGTACGTGGGCACAGATGAATATTGAGTCAGCTTCTGTAAAAGAATTGAGGTTACCGCGACTGACTAGGACACCCTTCGGCTTGCCTGTAGAGCCTGATGTATAGAGCAGATACGCATCATCCGATGATTTTGCTGCGAAAAGGGTCACAGGCTCGCCTTGAATGGAGTAGTCAAGGTCGTCAACATCAATGATGATACAGCCATCTGGCAAGGTCGTAAAAGCATCTGCTTGAGACTTAGATGTGAACAGCATTGCCGCATTGCTATCTTGCAGCAAATACATCTTCCGCTCACTCGGCAGGTCTTCAGCAATGGGCAAATATGTGCTACCAGAGCTGAGAATGCCGAGGATCACTGCATACACATCGAGTCGGCGCTCCAAACATACTGCGATCATTTTTCCACCACAGCCGTAATTCTGAATCAGACTGTGAACACGGCGATACGCACGTTGAAGCTCTCCATAGCTCCACAACTTGGAGACCATATTGCTTTCCTGGATACTTTCAGCTACCTCAGCGGCTGGCCAAGCGGGTTCGATTGTAGCGAAATGATCCACCCAATGACAAGGACTGACATCGAAAGCAGGGTTGTGCGCACCCACTCCATCGCCTATGGAGATCGAGAGCAGATTTTCTGGCATATATGACCTCAAATCGTTGACTGGTATGTCGGGGTGCTCAAAGATAGCATAAGTCAATGCTTCGATTTGTCTGGCAAGAACAGCAAGGTGTGCCGCGTCCAAAACCTGACGATCTGCCACCAAATCGAGTGCTAGCTTCCCGTCCATAGTCATAGAAGCATTGAGGGCTACTGAATGCTCAACCGATAGACTAATCATATCCTCAATCCGCTGCCATGGCGCAGACTTCTGGTCATCGCCACCCTCAGCCACTTCCATATCCGGAATAAAATTGAACACGGCAGGATAGAGCGCCTCCGTCTCCGACCTCTCAAGTATCCGCCTTATAACTAGCGGATGAATACCAAGATGCGACTTCGACGCACGTTGCAAAGCAGCTTGATCCCTCAGCACCTCCTGTGCAGTACCCTGCCTTTTCAGTGGCACAGGCACAACGGATATCAGTGGACCAACGACATCGGCTAAAGCTGCTGCTTCGCTACGAACGGACCATGTCTCTCCGAACACGACCCTGTCAGCCCCGAGATATTCGGTCAGGATTATGCCCCATGTGATGCGGAGTAGTGATGCTACTGAAGAAGCACCAATAGCGAACGCTTGAGTCTGCAGTTCGTGATAAGGCTTGCTCATATCCCATGCGTGATTGATGAAGCCAGTAGCCGATTTGTGGTTTGAGAGGTCAGGCAAAGTTTTTGTGTCTTCTTGATGAGAGTAGTCAGAAAGTGTTTCTGTCCAGAATGCGGTGTCCTGCTCCCTCTGATCATCCTGTAACGAGAGGATACTCAGGGCATCACGCAGCTGATGACGGCTATGGAAAGTATCGAGTTGGTTTGGCCTTGAGTATATCTGACTCAAATCCTGCATAATATATTCAAATGATGGTTCATCGCGGATAGCATGATGAATAGTGAACATCATCACCCTCTGAATGCCGGTATGGAAGATAGTCACAGCCCATAGCGGGATTGAAAAATTCTCCACCTGATGTCGGTTTGCAATTCCTTTAGCACGGTGTGCTGCACGTTGCTGGAGCGAGCCTTTACACCCCTCCTGTTCTATCCAGTCAACAGCCCTGTCCTTGAAAATGACTTGCAGAAAGGTGGCATTGATGCTGGGATGCTTTGGGAACCTCGCGATGGGCACGAAAGCTGCTCGCAACGCATCAGTCTCAGACGCGAGCTCATTCCACGCTGCTCGAAGAGTTGTCAGATCCACATCAGACTCTAGAGCGAAAAAGGTGTTGGTCCAATACATGTCTGCATTCTGGGTGCTTTCACTCAGAAGTGATTCCTGCAGGGGCAAAGCTGGAGTCACATACTCAATAGCACCGTCGATTTCGGGCTCGACACAGGCAAGCCATTGTCTGCTGAAAGCATCAACATCAAACGAGTTCTGCCTGACCTTCGAGGATTGTGATCGAGCCAATACCAAGAACTCACCCAGATCCTGACATCTTAGAACCTCAGCCAAGGAGATGTCGGACCCGTTGACGTTGAGTACTGTCACTAGCCTGGTGGCACTAATCGAATCGATTCCTGTGGAGGGCAGCGTACTTGCCCTTGCTATGGCTTCTATTGAAGTACCGGTGAGATGCGAAATACGGTCCAGAACCAGTGCTTCTTCTCGAGTCCATGCTGCCGTATCTCCCCGAGCGCTCGTCGTTGATGACAACTTAGCCTCCCATGGCCCAAGGTCTGCGGAGGCGTAAAGATCCTTCAGCGCTGTCCGATCGATCTTATTGGAAGGGGTGCGGGGTATACTACCAAGGACCAGGAAGACGTGAGGTATCATGTATTCAGGTAGATCCAACTTTGCTTCTCGTTTGGCAGCCTGTGCAATCTCTACAGCCTGATCGTTCGTCATGAGACTAGCGCATGAATCACCCGAACTCTGTGGAGCAAAGAAAGCTACGATGAGCTTTGAAGGGCGATCAAGCCTGTCGAGGTATTGTACCTCTACCTGCTGGACTTGAGGATGACAAGAGCGAAGAGAGAAGGCGATCTCGCTCAGTTCGACACGAATACCTTGAATCTTGACTAGATCATCTGTACGGCCGACAAATTCGATCGTCTGGTCATGTAACATGCGCACAATATCACCAGTCATGTAGAGTGTCATAGACAATGCTTCGCTCCAGACAAAACGATCGGAGGTTTTCCCAGGATCTTTCCAGTAGCCTTTGGATACTTGTGGGCCTCCAAGCGCTAGCTCTCCAATTCCATTTGTCATCATGGGCTTGCCGTTCTTCATGACCGCGATGGTGACGGATGGCAGGGGCAACCCGACATTAGCACTCTGTACCCTGTCTTCCGGACCTCCAAATCGTTTGTAAGTCGAGACTACCGTTGTCTCCGCAGGGCCATAGGTATTGAACGCACGCATATTTCGACCCCAATCATCAGCGACATTCTGTGTTAGTTTCTCGCCAATCATGGTGATGACTTGAAGGGTGGGACAGCAGTCTCTTGGCAAGCTTGCTGCAAATGCTGGTGTGAGATGGGCGTGCGTTGCCCCGGTCGTCGTGGCGAGATCTGCAAAAGAACCAAGCATTGTCGAGCGATCTGATGAAACAAGAGTACCGCCCACTCCCCATGTGTAGAATAAATCTTGGACGAAGACGTCGAACGTGAACTGAGAAAATTGGAGGCAGCGGATGACGCCCTCGCTAACATCAGTGGGTATAGATTTCTGTAGAGCTTTCATAGCAGTTACGGCAGCCTCTACGTGTATCGGTACGCCTTTTGGCTCACCTGTCGTCCCACTGGTCCAGATCAGGTATGCAAGGTCATCAGGCTGAGTTGGTTTAATCACGCGTTTCTGCACACTAGTGTCTTTTGGTGTGGCGATGTTCATCAGACTCACGCCCTTAGGGACACCATCAAGGCGATCACTGTTAGTCACCAGCATCTGAGCACCCGTCCGTACGATGAGATCATGGCGGCGTCTGGAAGGAAATGAAGGATCGATAGGACACCAGCCCCCTCCTGCCTTGAGGATGCCGAGAATGGCGAGATAGATCTCTGGACAGCGGTCCATGCAAATCGGTACAACGTTGTTTGCAAGCCATCCATAGTTGTGGAAAAGCGTATCTGCAAAGGCCTCGGCCTTGTCGTTGAGCTGCTGATACGTCCACTTGATGTTCCCCTCAGAATCTCTAGCAAGCAGATTCCGTCTAAAGTCCAAGGCCACAAGTTCAGGATTCGTTCTTGCGAATTCTTCAAACTGCGATTGAAAGGAACTTATCGAAGGAAGACGCTCAGGCTTGGGGTTGGATATTGATAGCGATGAAACTGCAATCTTCGAGAAGGCGTGACTGATAGTGAGGCATGGTTCTGAAATGATGGCTTGTAATAAGGAATCAAGATGTTTTAGCGTCAACAAGGCAGCTTCATCATCAAGGGTGGCATCGGTGAATGTAGCTGAAAGCCGAAGCAACCCTTTCGAGGTGAGTGATACCTCGATAGAGACGCTTTGATTGAAATCTGTATTGTTGTTACTCTGGTGTTGAAGAAAGACCTCGGCATTCGGTGAGGCTGAAAGATGATCGAGTATCAGATGTGTACCGTTTGTTTGCTGGAACTTCTGCGACTCCCTGGATACATTCGCTATCTCGTCGTGTGATTGGTTTAAATTGTGATCGGTCAGTCGTCGAAGTACCATGCACGCATCTTTGCTGTAGATCTCATCCGAACTGCATGAGCAAAAGTCTTCGAATGACTTGCGTAATGCATTGGTAGATGATCCTAGGCTTGAAGATGGTTCATTTCGTAACGTGGCGACAAACGCGACGCCATCTTTTGAGTCGGTGTACGCAAGCAATAGAGCGGCCCAGGCAGCTTGGATGGCTGCGGAAGGAGACGCGCCGATGCGCCGTACAGTGTCTTGCAGATCTTGAGCCCTTAGCTTAGAGTCTATCGAAACAGATTGGATGGTTCCTGCGATAGCACTCGAACGTAAGCCAGTGAGTGATGGGAAAGACGTAGGTGTGATGGGTTTGGGGTGGCTTTCCATATCGAGGGTTCCTCTATGCGCGTCAGACGAGGCTGTTGCTAGGGATGATTTGCCATTCGTCGAGTGATGGACGCTAGGAGAATTTGATGCGTTGGTTTCCTGCGCAGGAGGCATGCTGCAGGCTTTGAGACACAGCACATTAACGGTGCAGTGTTAGGCTACTCCTGTAGCTCTTCTACTATACTGGTAGAGATACGCATGGGAATCCTTTTATTTGTCCTACGTTGACCTAGTTGGCTACGGTGGATCATTCTTGTGGATGGCATATGTGAATACTGCCAAGGACGGTGGAGACGTTGAAGCCAAAGGTTGAAACATCACGTAAGACGATAGCTTTAGACTCGTCACACCACACTATGCTCTGCAAGGACGGAGCTCTTCTGATGGGTCGCGCAAAGTGTGGAGCGATATAGGAAGGTATGATGTCTGGATGGGTGATAGGGAGAATTGTTCCACGCCGTGGGCCGTTGCCGCTTTACTTTAGTTTGCCAAGCCTGCCAAACCAGGGCAGCTGCCCTAAGGTACCGTAGACAACAGCGCAAGCACCTCCTTTCAGCGCATCTCAATAACTATAACAGTAATTATTATCAGTATAGCTGCATCTTAACCGGCTTATCGTAAGTATTCAAATAGTGCCTATTTTAGGGCCTAGCCTATTATAGTTACCTTTCGCTAGCCTAATAAGTAGAAATTATTGTAGGATAGCTAGCTAGCTATTATAAAAATAATAACTATAATAATAATAATAGCTAATAGCAATAAGCCTATAAAGCTTAACTTAGCCTAATAGATTATTAATATTATATAAGAGTATTTAGAAAACGGAGCTTTAGAAAGCCTATATATATATTAAAAAACTATAAAAGAGATTATTACTTTTACTAGTTAAATAGCTAACACCTATAGTATATTTAATACACTTAGTAATATTAAATTTTTATTATAGTCTTTAATTACTAAAGCTTTTTCCTAGTAAAAAGTATAGTATATTAAAATAGTTAAGTATATTAATAAACTATAAACTATAAAAATATAAGCTATAACTACTACTATAATAGTTGTACTGCTAGCTCCTTTTTTACTTGTATATATAACTATTATAGCTAAATCTCTTTTTAATATAAATATAATAACTATTACTACCTTTAAAAAGTAATATTAAAAGCAGGAAATTATAATTAATATAAAAAACTTTATAAACTAATTAATATATCTTACTTATAAAAAGCTTAGTTATATATATAGATAAGGGTATATTAAGCGCCTAGAAAAGAAAACTAGCGCTAATATCTATATTAAAGAATACTTATTAAAGGATAAGCTAAAGTATATACTTAATTTAGCTACAGTTTAAATATTAATATTAGTTGATTTTAAACTAGTTAAGCTGCTCCTTAGTAGTAATATATATTTAATAATATATACTATTAAAGATAGCAAAATTATAAAGAAAAATATAAAGTAGCTAAAAGCCTTTATACCTAAAGGTAAAGCTATAATTATAATCTTTATATATAATATAATTATTAATAAAATCTATATTAAAAGTATAAATATAAATAACTTTATAGCTATAATTAAAAAGCTATAATATTAAAATATAGCTATTCTAGGAAAATAATAGATTTAAAGAATCTATTAGCTTTAAAAGCTTTAAAAGCTATAGATATATATACCTTTAGTACTTGAATTTATATCTTTTATAGATTATAATATAATATTTAATACTTATAATATATTTTAAAATAATTAAAGCTATAGAGTATATTAATATATTAGCTAATATATAATAAACTAATATTATAAATGCTATAAATATAGATATAAAGCTATTTTATATAAAAATTTAATTAAGTATAGTATATACTTAGAAAAATATATTTTAAAAAATTGCCTTTATTTAAAAAAATTTTCTAAGTTTAAATATATATAATATAGAAAACTATATAAGTCTTAGTCTAAAGACTATAAGCAATAAAAGAAAAAGATAAAATATATTAAATAAAAAGTTGCTACTATAGAAAAGTTTTAGCTAAAGCTTATATTAGCTAAGTTAATTAGCTTAGGGCTTTTATCTACTTTTATATTTATTTTTAGTAAATTAGCTTTAAAAAAAGCTATAAAAAAAAAAGAAGCAACTATAGCTTTTAAGCTAAAAACTAATAATTAGCTAAATATAATAAAGAAGAATAAAGTAAAAAAACTACTAACTAAGTAAAAATTAATTAGTAAGCTTATTGCTAATTTTATTTATAAAGAACCTAAAGCTAATAAAGAGAATAAAATTAATAATAAAGAAAAAAATTTAAACTTATCTTTAAATAGCTTAGAGCTATAGCGATTAAGCTGTACTTTAAAAAAGCTTTAGCTTTTTATTAAAGAGTAGGTTTATAAAAACTTAGCTATATAAAAATAAGTTATACCTAATACCTATTAATATTATAATATAATATAAAATAAAATAAAATAGGAATTATAGCTAAAGCATTTAAAGATAAATAAGTACTAGCTTATTATATTATTTATATATTAGAGCTTTAAAGTAATTTATTCTAAGCAACTACTTACTACCTATAAAAATAGAAATACTATTTCTTCTAGCCTATAAATAAAATTTCAAATTAGATAAGCTATAAACTAGCCTAAGTCTATATATATATAAGTAAAGATATTGACCCTAGCTTTATATAAATTATTAACTATTTTAATATATTTTAAATACTAATTTTAAAGTTTTTAAATAAAGGATATAAAAATTATATTGCTATCTATAATATTTATTTAACTTTATTATATATAGCTAAGGAAGTAATAACTAATAGTAATATATTAATATTAATTAAAAAAAAACTTTCTTTCTATAATAACTACTAATAGCTTATTATAAAAGATTTTAATACTTAATACTTTAATTAGTTTAAAAAGCTAATAATTATTAAAGAATAAGCTTAATAACTTTAGGAAATTATAATAATATATAACCTTTAACTAGTTATATTGCTTAAAATAGTAATAAAACTTTTAAATAATTTTAATTTAAAAAAATCTATAATTAATTTAGCTTAAGCTATTTAAAATATAATATAATATATTCTATACTATAAGTCTTTAAAATAGCTTACTTTTAGCTCTAAATATATTCTAATTAGGATAGTATTTAAGTATAAAACTTTATTAATAATAGTTCCTAATTACTAGAATTTTAAAAAAATAAATATAGAAAAAATTTTAAACTATTTAATAGACGCTATTTAAAACTAAAGAACTTTTAAGATATAAGCTAATTTAGATAATACTATTAAATATTTAACTAATTTTATTATATAAGCTTTAGAAGCTTTTACTTTAAAGATTAAATAGTTTATAAAAATAAAGCTAAGCTAAAATAAAAAATATATAGAAGCTATTAACGATTAAAAGAAAACTAAATATAAATATATAATTATATATAATTCTAAGGACTAAGTAGCAAAAGAAATAGCTAATAGCTAAAAGAAGAAAGTTATTTAAATAGCTTAAGCTAATAATTATAAATAAAAAGTTTTTAAAACTATTAATATAAATTAACTATTTGCTTTAAATAAATAGCTAAAGATATAAGAAGCTCCCTACTTTACTTTTCTTCTATAGATTAGGAGCTAAAATAAAATCTTATAGATAAATAATATAAAAAAAGCTAAAGCTTTCTAAGCTTTTTTTCTTCTAAAACTACTGCTAGCAAATCTCTCTAATATATATTATAGCTTAAAATGCTTCTTATAGCTGCTTCTTTTTTTAGATATTATAGAGTAAGAAGTTATTAAAGCTATTAAAGAATTTAAAGCTAATAATGCCCCTAGGCTAGATATAATTATTAACTAAGTTTTGAAAATAGCTCTTCTAGCGATTAGCAGCTTTTTTACTAATATCTTTAATATAAGTTTTAAACTTTAATACTAGCTAGCAATATTAAAAGAAGCTATAGTAGTAATAATTTAAAAACCTATAAAGAAAGACTACTTAGATCCGAAATCCTATAAGCTAATCTTTTTATTAAAGATATTAATAAAATAATAGAATATATTTTAATAAAGAGAATTTTAGCTATAATAGAAATTAATTACCTACTTTTAATTACTTACTATAGAAGTAGAAAAGCTATCTCCTATAAATATACTATTTACTTACTTATAGAATAAATATATATAGCTTAGAAAAGCAAAAACAAATTAGTAATAAGCCTAATACTCTTAAATATATTTAAGGTATTTAATAATATTAACTATAAATAACTTTTTTAGAATATTTATAAGCTTAGATTTAACTTTAATTTAGTAAACTAGTTATAGAGCTTTTTAATAAACTAATTTAGTTAAATTAAAATTATAAAAAAGCTTATATTTTTTTTTAATATAGAGACTAGAATTCTTTAAAAGTTACTATTATTATTAATTTTTTAGCTTTTCTATAATTATAAAATTTTTAAAGTAACTAAAAGCAAAAGCTTATTAATAGGATATATTGACAATATATATATATTAGTTATTAGAAAAAATACTAAAAAAACTTGCTAAAAGCTAACTAATATCTATATTAAATTTAAAATATAGGCAGATAAATATAGAGTAGTTTTTACTTTTTAAAAGTATAATTTAATTTACTTTTTCTAGTAATTAAAATAAATAGAAAAAAAAAACGAAAAAAGCTAGTAAAGCTTAAATTTTAAAAAAGAATATATACTTAAAAGGTTTATTTTTCTAAAAGTATTTACTATTTAAAAGTTTAGCTTAACTTAATATTAAATAGATAATCTTACTTAGAAATTGCTTTAAAAAAAGCTAAAGCTTATAAGGAAGCTTTAAAAAGTTTAGCTTAAACTATGTAGGGAGTTACTTTGCTAGGAATAATAAAGCTATTCTAAGCTACTATCTTTTTAAAGCTATTTTATAGCTATTTAACATAGGTATTACTCTAATAAAGTTAAAGATATAAAAGCTATTATTAAAAAATTATCTAGAGATTTAAAGCTATTTAAAAAGAAGTAATTGTAGCAGCTATAGGAGCCCTCTAGTATACTATTAGTACTATATTAAATGTAGAAATAAGTACTAAACCTATAGATTTATAATTAATAAGAATAATCTATTATATTATAGATAGAATTTGCTATTTACTAGTCTACTAAAAGATCTTTTAAATATATAAAAAAGCTAATACTAAAGGTTAGAAGAGCTAAAATAGTCTTTTATATAAGATTAAGGATATTTTTAATAGCTAAACTTATAATAATAATATACTAATTAAATAAAATATTCCTTTTATAGTCTATTTATAATAAGTCCTACTAATAGTAAATATAGCTAAAAATAATAACTTAAGAATTATAGCTTATAATGAGATTTTAGAGGAAGCAAAGAAAAAGCCTAAAAAATAGGCTATTTACTACTCTAATAATAGCAATATTAAAGAAAAAATTAGGGCAGCAGTAGCCCTAATTAATCTAATATACTATTAAAAGCCTATTACTTATAATACCTACTTAGGCCTAAACTTAATTAATATTATTTTTATAGCTAAAATAGTTAAAATTATTTAATTACTAGTCTTTATACTATTAAATACTCCTAAGCAATAAATAGTATTATTTATTAATAATTAAAAAGTACTTTAAATACTTTAAAATCCTAAAAATAAATCTAGCTAGTATTATATATAAGATACAATAAAATTCTTTAATTAGCTTTAAAATATAGGAGCTATAATTAAACTTTATTAGATATTAAGCTATAAAGAAATCTATAGAAATAAGCTAGTTAATAATTTAGCTAAGAGAACTATAAGCTAGATAGGTAATAATAAGCTATTTAGATTAATAGCTTTTTATTATTTATTAATTTATAAGCTTAAGTTAGCTATAAATTATAAAATAAAAAATATAGTTTTAAAAATATAGAAAGATAACTAAAAGCTTTTATTAATAAGCTATAATCTCTATAAGCTAGTAAAGAAACTTTTTAAAAAAAATATTCTTAAATATATAAATAAGCTATAAATTATTATATTGATTATAATCTAAGCTAAAATAAAGGTAATTAGCTTTTATAGCTATTTATATTCAAAGAAATTAGCTAATTCAGCTATATATAACTATAGGCAAAGCTATAAAATAGTTAAGTACTTAATATTTAACTATTTATTATATATTAACTTAAAAAAGAAATACTAAAGCTAGAATATATTAGCTATAGATATTAATAAATAGCTAAAAGATATTTAAAAAGCTATTATAATAATATAATTCCTATTATAAATTAAAACCTTTAAGTACTTAGGAAAGGTAGAGCTATTAATAAAGGCTAACTTTATATTATAAAGAGTTTTAAAGCTAAAAACAACTTTTTAGACTAGTATAAATATAATTAGCAATAAAAAATAAGTACTTATAGCTTATAACAATATATATTATAAAAGAAAAAGGAGTATAGAAGTTTATTTTATATTAGTTTATTAAGGGGTAATAGTTATTAAAGCTATTAATAGTTTTAATAGTCTAAGTTTATAGCATTTAGTTAGATTTTTAGATTTTAGATTTTTAATACTTACTTTTTTAATTTTGATTTTAATTATAATCGTTTAAAGAGTTGGTAAGTATCTTCTATTGATATAAAATAGCTCGTCTGCATAGATAGCACCCGGCATAGCCTATAAGGCTGAAACGGCGTAGGATATAAAAAAAAAAAAAAAAAAAAAAGGTACCGTAGACGGGAATGGTGCATTCTAGCCGAATGACAAATCCAATCTGATAATTTTACAGTTTCTCATTAGTTAATGTTTGTCTAGTCAGGGTCCCAATTTATATCCCCGGTAGCGGGAGAGAGTGCACTATTTGGCATTTGAACGTAGCCTCACGGTACTAGGCAGGTAACGAACTGGATAGTCGGGGCATGACGTTCTGATATGAGTCATTGAAGGCATATAATTACCGCACCTGCCGAAGTCGGCTTGCTAAATTATCTTGATTATGTAGTTTCGTTAGGCGAGCTTAGATCTGGGATTGCTGGCATCTCCTCGGCACTAACAATTGTACCGCACGCAGTTTCCAGTTGGTGGCTTTCTGAGAGACCTGAAGTGAAAGGGAAGTCCTGGTCTTCTCGATGTTCCACTTGGACGGTACAGGTGTCCCAAATCAATTCCAAAATACTTAGACAAAGGATACATACAAACACCTACTTATCAACTTAAACATTTTCGTCCGCAACTTGCCCCCTCCTCGACTTGCACGCCCTTACCCCTTCTCACCTCGTCCAGCCCCCTTCTACGCACCCAAAGCCTGATGCAGCGCATACCCCCTATAAACCCCCTCCCGCCCCACCAACTCCTCATGCGTGCCACTATCCACACAGCGGCCCCCCTCAATCACAAAGATGCGATCAGCGTTCTGAATTGTATGCAAGCGATGCGCGACCGCTAGAATCGTCACTCTCCCTCCCCCTTCCCCTCCCCCTTCCCCACCCACATCCCCTCCACCCCTCCTCACAACCTCCACCCCCGCCATAAACCCCTCCTCAGCCTCCGCATCCAACGCGCTCGTCGGTTCATCAAGCAACATAACCCTCGGCCTCCTCACCAGCGCCCTCGCAAGACAAATCCGCTGCCGCTGGCCCCCAGAGAACTGGTCCCCGCCAACCCCGCATCGCGTCTCATACCCGTCCGGCAGCGACATGATCAGCTCGTGGATGTTCGCGAGGCGAGCGGCGCTGTGGATTTCGGAGTTGCTGGCGTCCTGGCCTGGTGGGGCGCCGAGGGAGATGTTGAAGGCTACGCTGTCGTTGAAGAGGGTGTTGGTTTGGGGGACGAGGGAGAGGGTGGAGCGGTAGGCGGATGTGGAGGTGGAGGTGGAGGAGGAGGGGGGAGGGGGAGGGGAAGGCGTGGTTGTCGATGGCGATGGTGCCGGATGTGGGGGCGTAGAGGGCGGAGAGGAGGGATATTATGGTGGATTTGCCGCCGCCGGAGGGGCCGACTAGGGCGCAGTATGAGCCCGATGGGATGTCGAGGTTCAGGTCGTGAAGGATGGGGTGATTGGGATTGTGCGGGTAGTGGAAGCTCAGGTTACGGATTTTGATGCTGCTGCCGTGCGTGTTGGGGGGCGTGGGGTATGGAGTGGTGGCTTGCGAGTTTGCTTCTAGGTCTCCGGAGTCAATCTTTTCGGAGAGGTCTGATGGTAGAGATAGGGCGGATGATGTGTCTGGTCTGGTAGGGCCGATTTTCATGATTTTCACGAGCCTTTGGGCAGCCATGGCTGCGTTCGATACATCGGGTGCTAAGGCGAACATCTGACCGCATGACTGCGCGCTGAAGAGTAGTGCTGGAAGTACTATAAAGAACTGCGTTTGCGTATAGTTCCCATTCAGGATTTGCTTCGATCCCCACCAGTAAGCTAAGGCGTAGATCAGGTTGCTGACACTGTATGCTGTGGCTAGCCAGAAGTTGGTGTATGCGATCTCGCGGAAGCTGGCTTTGTAAGGGCCGGCGAGAGATCTCTTGTAGGTGTTGTAGAATTCTTCTTCCAGAGAAAGTGTGGCAATGGTCTTGATGGACTCTACTGCTTCAACGGTGATTCCAATAGATGTGGCGTAAACGGCTTGATGACGATCCTGAAACTTTGCGAGCGCTCTCAGACGCATGACACCAGAGCCAAGTAGAATTGGCAAAGTCGCAAGGAGGACTATGGCAATCTTCCATGCCACAATGTGAGTGAGGAGGATGCTTGCAATCAGGTTGACGAGAATCGTCAGTATTGTTCCCACAATCGTACCTGACAAGCCGGCTAAGGCGTTGGTGTCGCTAGTAAAGTGCGAGAGCAGAGACGATGGGGTGCGTCCCTCGGAGTTGTGCCATGTAATGTCTTGATGAAACAAAGAGCGAAACGTAAGTATTCTAACCTTGAATACCATCTTCTCTGCTACACGTCCGAAAGCCGAACCAGCGACAACATTGGCGAAGAATTCAGCTAGACCTAGGACGAAAAAGAGAAGTCCAAATAGATTCCCTGTGGCTCGAATACTCGAACTACCTTCGCATGGGTTTAGTCGGCCAACCACAGTGCCAAAAATGACTGCCTCTGAGGAGTATGAGCCTCCTGCGACGATGGCGCCGATAAGCCCAACGAAGATGATGAGCAATTGAGGGCGAGCAAGACGAGTATAGGTACGTATTGTTTGAAGAATATACCTTTCTTTATCGACGTGAGCAGTGTCACTCTGACCATTTGCTTCGACTACTGAGGGCTTTGTGAGTTCTTGCTTTTCGTCACCAATGTCATCAGGCACGACTTCAGCGCCAGAACCAATGGGTACAAGCGTTTCTGAGGACTCATCTGACATGTTAGGAGATACTAGTCCTGTCAATTGCAGAGATTGAGTGTCGGTCAATGTCGCATAAGCGCCTCCACTTGCCAGGAGATCCTGATGTGATCCCTGTTCAATTACCTGTCCGTCGCGCATGACTATAATGTTTTCGGCATCTTTTACTGTTGCAAGTCTGTGGGCGACCGTGATTGTCGTTCGGCTTTTCCGCATACCATCTAGTGAGCTTTGAATATTTTGCTCGGTTTTGGAGTCTAAGGCTGAAGTCGCCTCATCCATGATTAAAATGACTGGATCTTTCACGAGAGCACGAGCCAACGCAATTCTTTGCTTCTGTCCTCCGCTCAGCTCGTTGCCTTTGGAGCCTATGCACGTTGCGTAGCCATGCTCAAGACCCTTAATAAAGAGATCTGCGTCAGCCAGGTCCGCGGCGCTACGAACTTTGTCGACAATTGTCCTGACCGACAACGATTGATTCTGCAAAGCGGCTTCAAAGTCTTGGCCCTTACGAACCTCTTGTGTAAAGACGTTCAATTTCGAGTCAAGCAGTGCCGCTTCGAAGTCATGGTTCACGGAGCTCACTAGACCGAGGGCAATGTTTTCGAGGATTGAGCGATTGAGAAGCGTAGGTTCTTGTGATACCAATCCTACATAGCTGCGCAAATACCTCACATTCATTTCTCGGATGTCTTGTCCATCAATCAAGACTTTGCCCTGGTGAGGGTCGTAAAGTCGGGTCACAAGGGCAGCTAGCGTGGATTTACCACTACCTGAGACGCCTACTATAGCCGAATGCTTCCCTGCTGGGAAGTTCATCGAAGCGGATTTTAGTACATCGACTTCTGGCCGGGAGGGATAGGCGAATGTGACTGCATCTAGAGAGATACTACCCACGATTGCTTGAGGGGATGTGCCCGAGCTGCGCGATGTCCCATTGATGTTAGATTGCCGTTTCAAAACTTTCTCTAAGCTGCGAGCAGAAGCGGCTGCGCTGCCAAAGATTTGTAAAAAGGGTGCAACTTGACTTAGAATGAACGATGCTGACCGGTGTTAGTGGAAGGTAATCTCATCAGGAACCTGAATGTACCATCGAGTAGGAGGAAGATGACTGTATAGATTGACCCGACTGTGACGCCAGCGCCACGACCATCGACTGTATCGGCTATTTCTTTGCTTCCTTGCCAGAAAGCGATGGCATTGCCAGAGTATGCAATTAGAAACATAGTGCCAAACTGTGTCGCAGCTACGGCAGCTTTCTTGAGACCTTCTGTTTGCACATCGCAAAGAATTGTGGTCAGTTTCTTCTCCAGACGGTGGCTTGCCCCAAATACTTGAATTAGCGGTAGATTCGACAATGCCTGGGAAACGATTGACGATGCAGATGCGACATGATCCGACATAGTACTGGTATATTTCCCGATGTAGTTCCCACCCACAAGCGCCATAAGAAAATACGCGGGTAATAAGAAAACGAGTATTGCAGCGAGTGTTGGGACCTTGATGAATGCAACGAGGTAGGCGCCTGCGAAGTACGAGCAGCTCGATATGAAGATGCCAACTTTCTCTGAAGTTCCAGTCCGTATCGTTTCCATATCACTGGTCAATCGAGCAGATACCTCTCCGGGAGGCATGTTGTCAAAGAATGAAATCTCCTGTCGCAAAAGGCTTCGAAAATACTGCCTTCGCAGTCGGCCCACCAGCCGCTCGCCGAAAAGACTCCAACATCCTGCATGGATATATATGAATACGAAATTGGCGATCGCAATATATATCACTAGAAGCACTTTTTGGGTGACGCTGGCCTGCAGGTTGCTGGGTTTGGATTGCTGGACAGTATCACAGGAAGCTGAATTCAGATCATCGACAAGCTGTCCGAATAGAATTCCGAGAAGTGGAAAAGGCACTCCCGCAGCTATTGCAGCTATGACTCCAATGAAGAGCAAGAGAAGGTCTGACTTTGTCGGATTGGTTCGGAAGAGGAGGTGGAAATATCCCGAGCCTTTCTGCGTGGGCAGGCATGATCTTGTACGCGCAAGTAAATCAAGAAACTGCGTTTTGACAGATCTATGTCAGCAGTCTGGATGGTTTCTAGGGGATTTTGCAAAAATCTTACCTGAAGTCTTCGCGAAATGGTGATTGTGGGGTGTTTTGGTTCAAGCCCTTCAACCTTCCCAGGGTCTCCAGGTATCATATTGCTCAATCTCTAAGAAGTAGCAACGAAGGATGCCCCATCATACATGCCAGGCCATATTGAGGCTGCTACAGTCTGCTCATCATGTAGAGATTCACGTCCGAGGCATGATTCCGCACGCCGAAGCCCCCGGCCTCAAGACCGCAGCCTCTGGCGCCATCCGCCATCCGCATGGGCACACCCACAAACTAAACCGTTTCCACTTAGTGGAGCCATATTAATCTCAAAGAACAATCTGAAGTCTCTGCAGACTCAACATGCGCCTTCCGGCGAAATCGAAAAGAGTGCCGATGCCGATAGCGGCGAGCATGCCATCATGACAGCCTTGGAGCACACCGCCCTTTGCATACCGGCCCATAGGAGCCCCATAACGGCGAATTATATCATTAACACCAGAGTCGTCGGCTCAAGACATTGGAAGCAACCCGGTGGACCTCGCATTAGTTCATGTCACGTCAACGCACGAGCCGGTGCACGGGTACGACGGGTGAAGGTGCATGTTCATTGGCACCAAATGTGCCGGTCGTAGAGCTCTCCGTGTATTGTGGATGGCGTGTCGAGAAGGTTATCAGATCCGCGGCTCTCCACCATTTGGCCGGCACTAGTGCCCTCTTGCGGATGAATGCGGAGCTGCCAAGAGCCTAGCGACGCCTCTTTCCTAGGCAAACTAGTTGCCATCCAATCGGCATTTAGAAGAGTATTATCAGATCATCTGATTACGTCTTCAATGGTCCGTGGACGGAGCGTAGTCTCATATTGGGCCTAGTCGGACGCTGCTTTTACATGCGCTCTAAAGAATTATCTGATCGCGCTAAAGTTACTTACATCCGCGTCAATCCGTTTTCTTACAGTCTAGATTCGGTCGCATAGACATGGTCGAGAATGGAGGGCAGCGAAAAGTGCTTGCGGAACCTAATCGGACTGAACAAGACGTCATTGGCGAGAATGCTAAGACCTCGCCTTCGCGTGCTCGTGGCTGGCCCAACGAGTTGGAAGATATATCATACGTCACCACACACAACAAGATTAACACCATGGCGATGACATTCCAAGAGACCCAGAGCAGCCAAGCTGCCGATGTTGAACACTTTGACTTAGTATGTGTCGGCTTTGGACCTGCTTCACTTGCAATTGCGATTGCCCTCCATGATCGGGGCATCAAGCCTCGCGTGCGGTACCTGGAACGCCAACCAGAGTTCAAATGGCACGCTGGAATGCTTTTGCCTGATGCACGAATGCAAATCTCATTCATCAAAGATCTCGCGACGTTACGCGATCCTACTTCGAAGTTTACATTTCTCAACTATCTCCGGTGCCAGAATCGACTGGTTGCCTTTACCAATCTTTCAACCTTCCTTCCATTACGGGAAGAGTACAACGACTACATGACATGGTGTGCTTCACACTTCGACTCACAGGTGCAGTATGGACAAGAGACCGTTTCAGTCACACCCACCAAAGGACCTAGTGGGCGGGTTGAATCATGGCGCATTGTTTCGAGAGACATGGTCACGAATGAGCAAAGTACAGTCAGTGCCAGACATGTAGTCGTCGCAGTTGGTGGAAAGCCAAAGATACCAGCCGCACTCCAAGATCTGGCCTCAGACTCGAGAATCATACACTCATCATCGTACTCACACATTCGCCCAAAGCTCTCCTCGGCGAAAAATATTGCGGTCGTGGGCGGAGGACAGAGCGCTGCTGAAATATTCAAGGACCTACAAAGTCGACTTGCGAATACCAATATCACACTATATACAGGTAAATCGACATTGAAGCCAAGTGACGACAGTCCTTTGTAAGCCACACAGAATGATTTTGGATCAATCGATTCGCTGACACGCCGGCAATAGCGTCAATGAAGTATTTGACCCTGACAAAGTCGACACCTTCTACGATCTCGCTCCAAAAATCCAACAAGATACTTTGAAGAGCAATAGATCCACAAATTACGGCGTCGTACGACCGGAGCTACTAGACAAATTATACGAAAGCATGTATCATCAACGATTGCACCAAGCAGATGAGAGCAAATGGCAACACAGAATCATTCCATGGCGAGAAGTAGTAGGCTATGCAAAGCAAAACGATGGTACGATTAGACTCAAGCTGAGAGATACGTCGAACGATACTGTCATCTTCGGCGAGCCGGCATTCGATCTTGTGTTCGTCGCAACAGGCTACCTACGAAACGCGCATGAGACACTTCTAGCACCGACACAAAGTCTACTTGAAACGGGATCATTCGTCGTAGGGAGAGACTACAAAGTTCGGTATCGCAGGGATGAAGTCAATGATAACAGCGGAATCTGGCTTCAAGGCTGTTGTGAGGGCAGCCATGGTGTGAGTACTGAACGCAACAGGCAAGACCTTCGGCACTGACAAAACTTCGCAGTTGAGCGATACCCTATTGTCGATTCTAGCAGTCAGGGGAGGTGAAATGGCGGACTCAATCTTTCCAGAACATAGAGCATCGAAATTGTGATTGGCAGATTTCCCAACACGTGCTATGTAACATACACTACAGCAGGACGGGGTGAGTGTATCAATACCGTGATTGTGCCGTAATATAAAGATTCAAGAACTCAATGGATGTGGATCACTGACCCCTTACGTGGGGGCGCTTGGCGAGTTCCCCTGCCATTCCACCACTACAAGTGGGGCCCAGCTGAATGTACTCATTCATCACTGGAAGGAAGCAAAGACGGAGTCACTGTAACGCATCTCGTTTGCCTCCCTTGCGTGACTGATTTCTCCTCACTTCACAAATCTCCAAAATCGCAGCTTTGACTTCCTCACGTGCTCCTAACACATTTAATTGCAGCACCCACACTGTAGAAATGACGTCGTGCACGCAGAGCATCTCTGGAGACAGCTAAGAACAAACACATTGTCCAGATACTCTCAATCTTACAGACACGCGCTGCTAAAGCCACAAGACAAGATCAGAAACGCTCGACACAGAGGAGCCCATCACGACAATGGGCTTCGCCAATTTCGCCAAACCATGGCAGAAAGGCCACGCACAGGAATCAAGTCTTGCTACACCATCAAACGAAAATTCCGACCATGACGAGAAGAACGCTACGGACGTCGAGACGTCATCCGCTGACTGCGTTGTCGACAAGGAGGTCCAGGAGGGAGTGCAGAAGGCCGAAGCTATCACCGCTCTGTGGGGCACTTCTAGTCTCGTATTGGCGTACTTGCTGTAAGTCTCGACAACAACCTCATCCTATGCTATCAACCATTCAAAGGAGAGAGCAAGAGCAGCTGAAAACCCACAGCATCTTCCTCGTCTTCTTCGTCAACTCGCTGCAGCAGCAAATCACATCCAATCTCACGCCATACGTCACCTCCTCATTCAGCAAGCATGCGCTCATCCCTGTCACTCAGGTGGTGTCTTCGCTCATTTCCGGTGTCACGAAGCTGCCGCTTGCGAAGCTCATCGATGTCTGGGGTCGGCCTCAAGGCTACATCCTTACCGTAGCGTTGACAACAATTGGTAAAGTCTTTCCTAACACGCTCATGCCCACAAAAATCTCATTTGCGGATTCAGGTCTCATCATGATGGCAGCCTGCAACGACGTGCAAACATACGCCGCAGCACAGGTGCTGTACTGGGTGGGCTTCAACGGGATGGTTCGTGTCCACCCCCTTCTCCCCCTACCTCTGCCCTTTCCATCCCCTTCTTATCCAACGCACTGAATTCAAGCCATTAACATCTCCCCTCTTCTCCAGTCCTACGTCCTCGACGTCTTCATGGCCGACACATCCTCCATCCGCAACCGCGCCCTCGTCTTCGCCTTCAGCACAACGCCCTACATAGCAACCACCTTCGCCGGCCCAAGCGCCGCCCAGCGCTTCTACCAGCACAGCACCTGGCGCTGGGCCTTTGGCGCTTTCACGATCATCACGCCCGCCATCAGCGCGCCACTAATCTTCCTTTTTGGCATGAAGCAGCGACAAGCGAAGCGAGACGGTCTAGTCAAGCTACGAAACAGTGGCAGGAACTGGAAGCAGAGCCTTGTGTTCTACTATCACGAGTTCGATCGTAAGTAAATTTTCCTCGTACGGTATCTCACTCCTTTTTGAGCGTGAGACGTACTGGCTGGCTGTGGGGGGAAGATGCTGATCAAAGCTGGTTCACCAATAGTGCTCGGCGTCCTCATCCTAGTCGCAGGCTTCGCGCTCTTCCTCCTCCCCTTCGGCATCGCCACCTACCAAGCCGACAAATGGGCGTCCGCGTCCACGATAACCATGATCGTCCTCGGCGGCGTCCTCCTCCTCATCTTCCCCGTCTACGAGAAATACATCTCGCGCCAGGGTTTCGTGCCCTTCAGTCTCCTGACCGATCGCACTGTGATCGGCGCCTGTCTCAACGCAGCCACGTTGTTCGTTTCGTTCTAGTACGCTCTTCCCCCTTTTCCCCCTTCGCCCCTTTCCCATCCCCTCCCCCTCTCCCATCTTCGCTAGACTAACCCCCCCACGCACGCAGCTGCTGGGACCAATATTTCACCTCCTACCTCCAAATCGTCCACACGCTCTCGATCTCGCAAGCCGGCTACGTCGCCAACATCTACAGCATCGGCTCTGCCTTCTTCTCCGTCCTAACCGCCGCCCTAATCCGTCTCACAAACCGCTTCAAATTCCTCGCCCTGGCCGCCATCCCCCTCATGCTCCTGGGCGTCGGCCTGCTCATCAAATTCCGCGCCCCCCGCACCCCCATCGGCCTGGTGATAATGTCGCAGATCTTCATCGCCTTCGCGGGCGGCACCATCGTCATCACGCAGGAGATCGCCATCATGGCGGCGGCGGCGCATAAGGATGTCGCGGTTGTGCTGGCGCTGCTGAGTGTGTTCACGGGCGTGGGACAGGCGGTCGGGTTGAGTGTTAGTGGGGCCATTTGGACGAATACGCTGTTGAAATATTTGGAGCTGTATCTTCCGCCGGATGCTAAGGCGCAAGCGGCCACGATATATGCGAGTTTGACGACGCAGTTGCAGTATGAGGTCGGTAGTCCGGAGAGAGATGCGATTGTGAGGGCGTATGGGGTCGCGCAGAGACGCTTGTGTGTTGCGGCTACGGTGGTGCCGGTGTTGATGTTCGTTTGGGTCGGGATGTGGAGGGATATTAATGTTAAGAGTGTGAGGCAGGTTAAGGGACGGGTGCTGTGAGATGAGAGGACTGGTGGAGGGAGGGTTTCTCGGGTGTGCAAGTGGTCGAAGGAGAAGGTAGGCTTTGAGGTTGCTGAATGAGCGCTGGCGAGTTGCCGGTTGAACTGCGCAGGCAGGTGCATGGGACTTGTGGTGCGTGTGCATCAAGCACTTAGTACTGTGGTACTTCATTGACTCCTCTGCCTCACTTGTGAATATGTACCAGCTTTCCCGATGACTTCGATCGTGCTCCCAAGGATACTTAACGCCCAAATAGAGAGCCACGCCGGATATAATGAACAGCCAGGTCCCCAACCAGCCCAGAACTCATGGCCAACCAGCCACAGGAGGAAATGAACGACTCCGCTCTGCACGGCTGCTCATCCCACTCCGCATATTTCGCAGCTAAGCTAGGTTTTCCATACCCCATCTGCCACAAAACTATAGCAAGCAACTGAAACCCATCCGCATTCTACATTGGCAAGCCTCTCATCGCCTTCTCAGCCTTGATTAAAGAAAGAAAGTCTACAGTGTAGTGAGTTGTAGAGACAAGACAACGTTCTCCTCGAAGTGGCTGTCAGGGTGGAAAATTGAAGTCCCGCTGCTGCCGAGCGAATTCTGCTGGAGAACCTCCTTACTGTATGTTAACACCCCTGAGATCACAGCATGCACGAGTGCAACGTAGCAGCAGAGGCTGGTCCTTGTCATGATATCTCGCGAAGATTGAACTAAAGGGTCAACCCCTATAAGTGCTCGCCTATGCACCCGCCCATTTCGGCCGTTCTTCTCGATACGGCGTTGATGATGCGAGGGCCTCCCGTCAACAATTGATTCCTAATCTTGAGGGGCTTGGCAGTCAGATCACTTGGACAAGGCTTCTAGATGAATTGTAGGTCCTTCCCTTATTTGGACCACCTCTTGTGGGGGGGGGGGAGGGGCGGGATGAGACCCAACAACAAGCAAGCGTCAACAATTCCGACCGACGCGCGGCCGGGTACGGGCGTCAGCTGTCCGTGGAGGAATCCATAACGTATTTCACGACATGCGGAAAATTCCCTGCTACTACAACGGCCGGGGTAAGCTCAGCGAATCGAGGGTCTGGAAGCTCCACTTGGCACTTCGATTGATTGGAGTTAGTGTACGACATCGTCAATCTTAGCTGTGTTGAGCATAACGGCACTCTGCACATTCTCCAGGGCATAGCTGTATTTTACCCCCCGCCATCCATAGTGAACGAAACACTCGTTCTGCCCACCACGCGTACAGACGATGGTTGATGCGGATCGTATTCGTCTTTCGCTATATTGAAGCTGCGGGAAGATTTACCCCTAAGTCCAAATAGCCGCCCCCTCCTTCTTCCTTGCAAGAACCATTTGCTTTAGCATGGCATATTATTTAATAAAAAACCTCTGGTCAGCTCTACGCAACGCCATTGGTAGGTAGGTTCCCCTCCCTAAATCTGACTGGCGCGGAACACATACTCCCTTTTGATTAGCGGGCTGGCTAGATTCAAGGTTCTTGTGCAACTAAACTGTTCCATCAGAAAGCCATCAGTGAGCGAGGCTTTATTTCTTCCAATCGCATAATTTTCGACCCTTGCAGGTCGGGATGAGCTTTGTGACTTGTGTGTGTTGCTCATGGTCTAGACTTGCTATATCTCTACTTTATAGTCGAGAGACTGCGTACTCAAGATCTAGACTCGCTATATCTCTACCTCACGGCCGCGACGCTACGAGAGTTTTCCTTGTTTGTGTATATTGCTGACGGTCTAGACTTGTTGCATCTCCATTTTACGGGCGCAAGACCGCGAGAGCCTTTTGTTGAATATGTATTGGTGAGGGTCTAGACTTGCTATCCCATAAACCGTTAGGTGCTTTATTTTAGGGGTAATCTCAATTATTATAGTGTTTTAATTTTAATCGGTTTATATAATCGTTCCGGCACTCCTTTTAGTCGTAAATAAGGATTTTATATAGATTATAGCCTTTAGTAGTTTTAGGAGCTTAACCTTGCTATTGCTAAGCTATACTATTTAGCTATAGCTTATTTAATACTTTTTTACTTGCCTATCCTAAATATATATTATTATTTTTAAAAAGTCTATATATAAAATATATTTTTAAATATTTAAATTTAACTATTTAATATTTATATAGCAATACAAGATATATTTAGCTTTTAAAAGGAGGTTTTTCTAAGGAGTATTCTTTAGTCTAATTAATTAATATATTTATAAGCTTAATCTAAAACTTTTTATAAAAACTACTTATTCCCTTCTCTTTATGTAGCTTCCTTACTACTAATATACTAATCTTATAAGTATTAGTTATAGTAGTATTAAAAAGGAAATAAAATAATAATATTTAAATCTACTATTATATCTTCTATATAAAATAATAAAATTAAAGCTAGTTAATATTATTAATATTATTTATATAATAATTATAATTACTAATTAGCGTAAAAATAAATAAAATTTTAATAGGATTGTTGCTAAAAAGAAGGCAAGTAATTTTTATATTTAAAAATAACTTTATAAGTTATTATTATTTATAGTTTATTATTTTTTTACTATTATTAATAATAGTTATAAATAATATAATAGTTTAATCTATTTATATAAATTAAAAGATATTCTTATTATTATTAACTGCCCTATATAGCTCTCCCTACTTAACTTACTTACTATACTTTAGTTTAATATTAAAAATTAATAATTATAAGCTATAGTTTTTTTCTTTTATAAGTTACTTTTTTTACTAAGCTATTCTACTAATAGCTTCCTCTATTTCTTATATTATTTTTATAGTTTTTATAGTTCCTGCAGCTCTAAAGCTATTGTATTTAAGCTATTTAAGAAGATATAATAATATAAATAAATTATCTAGCTATATAATATATTTATTAAATATACTTATTAAATATTTTTACTTAAGTAGTTTTAATACTATAGCTTGTATATTAGAATAACCTTAGTCCTAAGTCTAGATAGGAGCTATTTTTTATAATCTATCCTTTTTTAAGTACTATAGCTAATCTAAAACATAGCTATTGTTAGCTAGGATTTATATTTTATAACCTTTAAGAGTTAGTTTGCTTAAAATATTAACTATATTTATAGATTATTTTATAAACTTAATAATTAATTTATTAATATTTAAATATATTCCTATATACTATTAATGCTTAAATATAAGCTTAAAATATTTATTTAAAAACTTTAGCTTTTTAAAGACTAATTCTAGGGCATTTTTTAATAGTTCTAAAATATATAGAAACTAGCTAAGCTAATTAAACTATATTTAACTTATATAATATATTACTTTCTAGTAGATAAGCCTACATTTTTTATTTTAATTCTAAAAGTTATTTATATTAGTTTTTAGATAGATACCTATCTATATAATAATTTTTATATATATATATAGCTTATTAATATTTATAAAGCTTTAAGCTCTTTAATATAGGGTAGAATTTAACTTTTATATTTAAAATATTTCTTTAGTCGTATAGTTATTTATATATTTAGCTATAATCTAAAATATTCTATTAGTAAAAAATAAGCTAAAGATATTATAAAGGTTCTAGGCTTTAATAAATCTTAATAAAGACCTTTTTCTAAAGGTATATAGTTTTTTAATTTTTATTATATTAAACTACGGTAGCGGCTATAAACGTAAGGGTTATTACTTTAAAAAAGGCAGCAATAAGGGCTCTAGATCTAATAGTATATAGTCTACATTATTAGATACTCAATTACAGGGCATAGTAGTTGTAGTAATCAAAATGATTAAAAAAAGGTAGCTGGAAAACGCGTCAAAAATAGCGTCGGATTTAAGGCAGTTAACGGTTTATGGGATACCTTCACTTCACGGCCGTTATTCAAGGCCTGGACTTGCCACAGTTCCCTTTTCCGGTGGCGATATCATGATAATTTTGTGCCTTGTGTAAAATTGCTCAAGGTCTAGACTTGTGATACTTTCACATTATGGTTGCGCGACCGAGAAGCCTCCAAGAAAAATGTACAGCTTGCGTTCTGATTCGCTTGCGAAATATCAAATTACACTGGGAATCTCGACTGTCACATCCAGTCTAGAATCAGACGTGAAGGGCCCAGAGCGAGCTTTGCAGCTACTACCTTGGAAAAAAGATGGAAGAGAATATATATAAAGCCACCGACCTCCCCCAAAAATGTCCCTCAAAAGATCAAAACACTTCACAAGCACAAAACCCTCAAAAACTCCGTTCAAATATTATCAACTTCCGTCTTTCAAGCCATTCATCATGCATCCAACAACACTTCTCAGCCTACTCGGCGCACTCGCGACCTTAGCAGCTGCAGCACCCACACCTGCACCTATCGGCGAAGGTACGTACTCATGCCGCCCTGTCTCTCTCTACGCAAGCTCATGATGCCTCCACCTATTTCCACTCTATTCACATACCTTACGTACTAACATATCACTAGTTCTTCTTGCTCGCGATGCCCTTCCCGAGCCCGAGCCAGGGCGCGGTGGGAGCTATCAGAAACGAGACCCTACCCCTATCGCTGACCCAGGACGCGGTGGTGGGTACCAGAAACGCGAAGCCGCTCCAGAACCTGAGCCCGGCCGCGGCGGTGGGTATCAGAAACGTGAAGCCGAGCCCGAACCAGGACGCGGTGGAGGCTACCAGAAACGAGAAGCCGCCCCTATCGCTGACCCAGGGCGCGGCGGAGGCTACCAGAAACGAGACCCCGCCCCTATCGCTGACCCAGGACGCGGCGGGGGCTATCAGAAACGTGAAGCCGCTCCAGAACCTGAGCCAGAGCCAGGTTGCGGCGGTAGATACCAAAAGCGAGATCCCGCTCCTATCGCTGACCCTGGTCGCGGTGGAGGCTACCAAAAGCGCGAAGCTGCCCCTGTCGCTGAGCCAGGCCGCGGTGGCGGATATCAGAAACGAGACCCTACCCCTATCGCTGAGCCAGAGCCAGGTCGCGGCGGTGGATATCAGAAACGGGAGGCGGCTCCAGAGCCTGAAGCAGGACGCGGCGGTGGCTATCAAAAGCGAGATGCGCTGTCCGGACTGGTGGTGCTGTAGAGAATGTAATCAGGTATATCGGCGTTTGGGATAAGGAGCTAGAGTTGATGGGGAAGGGTGGACTTAGGCATTCTAGGGGGCAGGGGAGAAGGGGGAAACGGGGAAAGGGGATGTGATGCGATGGAGTGAAGGTTTATATCGTGGGTTTGATTTGATTCGTAGTTATGGCAATGTATATCTTCTGCAAGCGGAACGTTTATAATACAAACATGTTAGTCTTGAAACTGTGCCTTTTCGTTCACGGGACTCTCATGAGCTCGCGAAAGTCTTCTTTACTCCCCTTGCTGTTGCTTTAGACTTCTATGTCGAGAGCCTCTGCCCACAATTGAGGGTAAATGATACATTGATAGCGGCCCGAATTATGTTGTGCAAGTTGGAATCGCGAATGAAGCACGTCTGAGGTTTTCTGTGGCCGAACGTTGTATTCTCTCCTTTGGCGGGAGACGTCTTCTCATCCTCTACCGCGCGCCTTGGACGCTCCGAGGGGAAGTTTCTATGGAAAGACTAAGGGATTGTGGACGTGGAGTTTTTTGGTTGGGGAGGGGAAGAGTTATCGCGCTCTGACTTCCCTGAGGCTGCAGTTCGCTTTGTGTCTCCACTACGCAGAAAGTTGATTCTGTCGATAATAGCTGCGCTTCACTGGGAATTTCGTTGCTCTGTGAGCTGGAGCGGCATACACCAGGCGAGAATGCTGGGGTTATTGTAGATGTGCTGTGTTATCTCAGCAGGACATCGCTGAGCGCAAGACAGGCGATGCGTGGTCGTGCGATGGTGCACTCACGCCTGAGCGACATTATTATCTCGGTGGTTAATTGGCTTGAGTTTCTGCAGCTGCAGGTATCAGCTATTCAAGGACCGCGGATGTACTATGCAGCATTTGTGCCGGAATCTGAAGTGTGCGCTTCTCAGTCTGTCTCTTGCGAAGCTCAGCTGGGTTGCGCGTACTTCGTGAACTCGAGGCTACGTATCATTCTTTCTTCTTTACTTTGATAGATTTCTTCGTATCTACAGCTTGCTTATTAATCCTGTCCTAAGGGTTACACCATGCAATCTCTCCTTTGTCTCTGCATCTCGCTGCTTTGCATGTCAGCTTGTGCGGTAGAGTATATCGTGTATCCAGAACTCACTGCTGATACAACGGTTCTGGATGCCGCGGACAAACACTTTATCGATACGATCGGTGCTGCTAATGTGAGACGAATTACTAACAAGGTCAGAGAATCAACAGAGTTCTGGTTATTGCAATGTAGCCCAGGCCAGAAGACTTCATTTGCCCAACAGCCAGGCGTAGGTTTTACTGGTAAATTTGTGTAACGACTAATGATCAGTAGATAGAAGCCATCTGGGAGAATGCAATATCTGCAGTGCGAAAGGCTTCCAGGGCGCAAGACAATAAAACGGAGCTGCACTGGCCTTCAACAAACCAGTCAGAAGCCCGTCCTCTACAAGCTAGTGACCCGGCCCTGAAAGTACAGAACAATGCCCCAAGACATTTAGGCCTGTTGTCATGGCCCAAATACACTTCGATCTGGAAATTGAAATTTCCATATAAATACATGTATAGGAGCACTCCCCTAGACACCTATCTCTATGTTATCGAAGAGGGTGTTGACATCGTTCATGAGGTACGCATACAGTCGTGTAGTCATGTACATATACTGAGCCTGTAGGACTTTAATGGCATTTCAATAGAGTGGCACTATAGCCCTAATGCCGTTCAATCTCAATCGGATAATGATCCCGATGGTCATGGAACCTGCGTCGCCTCTTTGGCCGCAGGGAAAGACAGCGGTGTCATCAAGGAAAGACGCACCCTAGTCGTCATGAAGTCAACCCTATCCGCTGCCGACATCCTCGATGCTTTTTCCAAAACACTGGAAGACATGGTCGCCAAGAATCGCCAGAAGAAGACTGTTGTAATTTTTGCATCAGGAAGCGATGGCTCGATTGAGCACATGAGCCCTTTCACCCCAGACAAATTTATGTGGGAACGTGTGCGCCTGATTGTGCAAGATCTCATACGATACGGTGCAGTCATAGTTACAGCAGCTGGTAATGGAGGCCATCAGAGGAAGTTTATAGATGAGACGCCGGCTGTTTGGTCGTTGTGGGATTATCCCAAGAACGAGAAGATTATCTCCGCGACCGCCGTGAATGAAGATGGCGAGCCAGCCGATTTTGCACAAATAGGCAACAAACCCGGGGAAGATAGAGTGTTCTGGGCTCCTGGTGAAAATGTTCAATGCGCGAGTGCGCGATCAAAAGGTTCAAAACCCGTGGATGGGACATCCTTCTCCACCGGCCTGGTAAGTCAACATAATGAGTTTCTGTTGAATTGAACCGGAGATAACGTCCATGGTCTCGGCCAGGTTGCGGGTCTCATTACTTACAGTATATCGAAATATCAAATCCCTTCAGCCTAGCAGATAGCCGCGGAGTGGTGGATTCAATTCATGAGGAGAGCCGGAACAAGAGCAATCAAGGATACTAGCGGTACAAAAATGATCTGGAACGGAGAAGATGGCAGTGATGCTGCATTTGGAAATGACACTTATGTGGATTGATGAAAACATAGTGTCAACAGGTCCAGTGCTCAAACTCTCACGCACGATGGAAAATACTTCAGCAAGCAGAATATCTCATATTGGAGTCGCTGAGCCCGCCATGAGCATTGAGAGTCTTTCATATAGCCATAACTAACAATCGGATATCATCTCATGGTCTACACATGACAGCGCGATGCTCACAAATGACCCGTTGAAAACAGACCAGAAATTACCCAACGAGACATTAAAAATAGTCCGAGTCAGAGACATACGAAAACAGCTTCAAATCAGTCACAGTGAAGAGTTTGAATTAACTATCTCATATATTCCTCTCCTCACAATTCCCCCCATCCCATACCCTACCCTCCCCCAACACATCCACCAGCCAACACACCTTCCCAACCGAGCCAACCTCACAAACTACAAGCCCCCCTCCCCCTCTCCCCTGTACCTCATACACCACACTCCTCACTCCTCCACTCCCAGTACCTCCCCCCACATTCCCCCAAAATCCGCCTCCCCAACCCCCCAACCACGGCTCCACTTCCATCTGTGGTGTATATTCGTTCTCGCCCCGAAAATCCCCACGAAGACGGGTGACGCGGGAATCTGCTATCGGCAGTAGAGCCGGATGTTGACCACGAAATCCCTGCTGCAGGCGGCAATTCAAAGCCGTTGATTCATTTCGACCATTCAATCTCCAGGAGGGGTGAGGAGGGAGGTTGCTCATCTGAACATCCTTGGGCTGTATATACCGGATTTGCGACAGTGAGGTCGAGAGATGGTAGTGGAGATTATCTCTCTTGCTGGAGTTGGTTTGAGTAGGGTGATGATCGGCGTGAAGTTGGTGATTGGCGCAGACTCGACTCTGTGCAAGAGGCGGGGAGGTGGATTGCTTGGTTAAGTTGAGGGATATTTCTGTCTGTGACGTAGTCTGGATAAGCCATGTTTCTCTGTATCGCTGTGAAGTAGTGCCAGGTGCAGTGACACTGGGAGTAGACTTTTGGTGTGAGCACCGTGATTTCGACCTCGCTGTCGACGCTGGGATAGAAAGAATGGTGGGGCGGAGGCTGTGGCGACGGTGTTTACTTGTAGGTATGTCTGATTCGCCGCTACCAGGTTCAAAGGCAGTCGGGTCTGTTGCGTTGATTTGGTGCCAGTGCCGTCTTGATAGTGATACATAGCTAGGAATAGGCGGTGGTAGGAATATCTCATTTAGTAATAGTCACCAAAAAATATCTGCTAGCCAATGGTGGTACAAAAAAGCTGACAATATCCCCCAACGCCAAATGCAATAGTAATAGCCGGCGCCAGCGCCTCGAAATAAGAATATCGGTGATAATGATGTCTGTCGTAACGTCGTCGCGAGGTGCCACCCGGCGCCGTGGCTCTTATCGTCTGTTGCTGTCCAGCACCACAGCTCTTGTCGATGGGGAGAGAAGCCCGAACCCCCAGTGTGACGGGCCGGGGGAACGTCTCTTGACTGAGGGCGCGAAGAGGAGCTGCCTGGCGCTGCAGCTGGTTGTCGAAAGGTTGCCTCCTGGCACCGAGGCGCTTGTCGAGTTGGTGCTGCCTGGCACCGCAGCGCTTGTCATACCATCCGGCTCCATGGTGCTTGTCGATTGGGAGGGAAGCCCGAACCCCCCAGTATGGCAACTGGGGTGAACGTCTCGTGACTGAGGGCGCGAGGAGAGCTGCCTGGCACCGCAGCTGCTGGTCGATAAGAATGGTGCTATAGTCGATGTGTGGATAGTAATAATAAGAATAGTAGTGAATGAAAAGCCAGGAAAAGCCAGAAAAAGAAGCAAAAACGCCGTTCCATGCCGAAATTGGTGGTGAGAGAGGCGGAGAGATGGCTGTCTAGGCTATGACCAGCCTAGACATTGTGCCAGGCCCGGAGAAAAGGCTTTCCGTCGCCGCCGACGGCCCACCCAGCGCAGTTCTCGCTGGTGGTCTGCTTGGCCTTCTCTCGGATGGTGGGAGGGTTGGCATGCTGCCAGTGCTTCTTTGGGATGCCGATTGTCATTTGGATTGGGGGGTCGTAGTCGACCTCCCGCTCCCGGCGGGAACAGCAAAGGAGCCACCGGAACATGGTGGTGGTTGGAGGAGAGGTGGGATTTGGTGGTGAGGGTGGTGATGGTGGTTGGTGTGGTGGGAGAGGGAGGAGTTGCCAGGCAGAGCTTGCAAAGATGCACTGGCGTGCGCTTTTTCGGAGTGAATTGGTGGTGTGCTTTGGTGATTCAAAGTGAATTGGTTGTTTAAAATTGGTTTGATTGCTATTTAGTCTGTAATCGCTTGCCAACAGGTCCCCAAAGTCTTCCGATCTAAGGGGACAGAACAAAGAGGGGAGAGGGGGAAGGGGAAATATATACTAGACGCCAAGAGCTTCTACCGGACTTTGGCCGAAGAATACTATGCCCTGCTTGGGCAAGTCTCGTTTCTGAGTTCTATCTGGCAGGGAAAATTCTGCAGAACGCCAGAAGTGGATGCAATACGCCGTCCTAGGAGGTACACCTGCCACTGTGGGGCCGTAAAACCGGGGATTGAGCCTCATCTATCCAGATGGAACCTTAAATCTGCCCTAAAGGATAAACAATAACGCTGAAAGTGGCTGCAAATTAAGGAGATCCGTTTGAACCCGCCCCAAAAGACGAATCATAACATTGGAACTGCCTGCCAGAACCTGGGGAACTTTTACGCTAGGCCCCAAAAGCTAGTGAAAACGCCAGAAATAGCTAAAATTCTTTATATCAATAGAAACATTCACCCCTAATAGCATTGGAGAGAGACGAAAGCGGATAGAATCCTTAGGGAAAAAGCCATGTTCACCTGTCAAGTGGATTGGCAACGTTAAAAGTGGATATCAAACCTTAATTCTCGATGTAGACAAGCTTCTTGCAGATGAACATACGACAGAACAACCAGAAAGATCTGCAAGTCATGCCATTTCATCCTACTTACCCTCTTCTGCTACATTTGAGCCAAATGTAAAGCGAGACCTAGGAAAACCCACCTCTTGCATCTCGAAGATCGGAGAACGAGCAGCACAAACGACGGAGCTATGACGCCCAAAAGGCAGAACTAACAGCCTATCCCCACTTCACAGACCCCACTGATATCAGCCTCACAAGATCAGACTGCCAAAGGACTCCTCTATCACCGAGACTCCACCAAGTCGCGCAGAAAAATTCTGTCGGTGGAGCCAGTGGCGCCTCCAAAGCGGGTCAAGGAAGTCAGATTCCCCAGCTGCACGGCCAGCGCCACGACGCCTCTCCCCGGCCCCCCTAGTCCCCCCCACACCTATCCGCCACCATGGCGTCCAATTCCACGAAGTCAAACGCTCTTTCCCCCACTCTCGCACTTTTCCCCTCACACTTTTTCCCTTGGGGCCAGAGTCAGAGGCAGAGGACGAATGGGGGGAGTGCGCGCAGCAGAGCTGCCGAGGTGGCTGTCGTAGGGCTGGATGGTGCGACTTGCGCCTTTGGCTGGTAGAATAGTGGTGGGCGCGCTTGCGTCGATGAGGGTGTGCTGGGGGTGCTGGAGGGTGGCGTGTTGAGGGAGAGAGGGATATTGCCGTAGCCGACGGGGGATAGAGTAATATTGCCGCAGCCGCCGACGGGGGCGCAGAATGTTTGGTAGTGGTATGGGGTGGCTGATCTTTGTTAGAGCTGGTTTGTTGACTGGCAAGGGGACGAGGGAAGAGAAGGGGAAAGGAGGTGGGAGACGAGGTCAGCAACTGCATAGCCGAGTGCTAGGTAACATGCACATGTCGCGTTGGCTGACGAGCAATAGGCGGTGGAAGCGTTGACGTCTCGAGAGCAGGCTTGCTATGTAGTTCGTCTCAGCGATAGCGGAGGAGGTCTGGGTTTTGTATCACCAGCAACGCCAAAAATTGGGCATATTGAATGAAGGCGACGACGTCATGGAGAGTGATTAAGTGGCATCATATATTTTGACTCTCTCCAAGCGAATATGAGAGGAGTCTAGCGCTCGTCGGCAGGGAAAGCAATCAAGCTGTTGAGCTTCGCATCCCTCTCCACCGTCCCTGCCGCATGTGATACGCCGTCGCACACCTCAACTTCATTCCGGCTGACTCAGCAACAGCGCTGCACAGCATGGCTGCAACACCTGAGCTCCAAGAGCCAAAGCTCGACCTGTGTTGTGAGTAGCAAAGCGAGCGTTGATGCAGTATTGCCGAGCTGTTGATTGCGAGATGCTTGCGGGGCGATTATTCATCCAAGTATTCCATTCCTCTCCTTGCCCAACGTTCTCATTGATACTACAGCTTCAACTTCTTCGGAAATGCGGACTACTCGTCGTTACATTGTAGATCAGATGGGAAGGTGGGATGACAGAGTCTACAGGTCGGGAGACCAACGCTAAAGCTCGGCTGACCAACGCTAATCTAAATATTTAGCGTATAAATAAATCCCTCATACTAATTAACTTTATGGTCCGGTGAGCTTATTTAATTTCATTAATTAAAATATTTTTCAAAGTATTAAAATTAATTTAAAATCGATTAATAATTGTTTCTCTAAGAATTTTCTTAGTAAATTCTTAAGAAATTTTTTAGAGAAATAATTCTTAATCGATTTTAAATCAATTAAAGATTTTTTTTATAAAATTATAAAGTTTTTAAAAGAAAATCAATTAATAATCAATTAAGAATTATTTCTCTAGAAAATTTCTTAAGAACTTACTAAGAAAATTTTTAGAAAAACAATTATTAATTAATTCTAAATTAATTAATAATTAATTAAGAATTGTTTCTCTAAAAATTTTATATAGAAATCTTTAAGAGAATTCTTAGAGAATTAATTAGAAATTAATTAATAATTAATTTTTAATATATTTATTCTTTAGAAATTTCTTTTTAAAAATTTATTAAAATTAATTATTAATCAATTATTAATTGATTTTACTTATTTTTACCTCGGCAGACCAATTGAATATCAGCTAAATATTACTAAATAAGCTAAATCCGCTAAAATCTTTAGATTAGCGTTGGTCAGCCGGGTTTTAGCGTTGGTCTGCCGACCTGTAGACTCGGGATGACAGGGGAGATGAAGACGAAGACATATGCGCTTTCGTCTACCGTAGAATCCTGTCCTCCATTCAATATTCGTCCTGTCCCTAGTAAGAGTCTTGGCTTTTGAAAGTCGTGATGAGAGACGGGAGTGGAAGGAGAGTCTAAGGCTTCGAGAATCCACGCAAGGCTTCTGCACGGACTGTGAAGACATTGACAGCTTCTAGCTATATCTCTCTTACACATTTCTCCAACATCATAATTCCAAACTCATTACAAAATTATCATTACAAGAAAGCGTAGGGCGTACTGTAATTACCGTGACCTTTTTTCCCCTCATAACATCGTGTGTGCTCATCCCATCCCGTCCCATTCCACCCATCTACAGCGTCAACTTAATCGTCTTCGACACACTCGGCACCCCCGCGCTAGTAAGCGCAAAAACATACCAATACCCGGGCACCGCCTGGCCGGGATCCTTCGTCGGGATCTGCACCGTATACGTAAATCCACTCGTAGCCGTAATAGTGAGCTTGATACGTCGCTGATCCGTGTTGACCGTGTGCGTGGTACTAGCCAACCTGACGATGCTGAAGCTAGTGACCGCGCTATTCGTCGTGATCGTGAATGTCGGGTTGGCTGTCTGAGGCACCTTGACGGTGGTGACGGATACGGAGTTGATGACGGGCCGAGTGGCGAGGGTTCCAGATGCAGTGTACAGGTACGGCGGCTTGAAAATCTGGCCGTCGTAGTGGTTGGTGGAGCAAGTCCCGCAAAGACCGCCGCCGGCGGACATGACGGTAGCGTCGGGAAGGAGGACGGCGGTGCTGTGGTAGTTACGGGGGATCTGTTGTTGGGCGAGCTGCGTGAAGGTGTTGGTGGCTGGGTCGAACATCTCGGGCGTCAGTTGCGAGGTATCGTCGCTGAAGGGCACAGCGTAGCTTTGGCCGCCGGTGATAAAGACTTTGCCGTCGGGCATAACGACGCTGTTGGCAAAGGCACGGGGGAAGGCCATGTTTGCGATGGTTGTAACGACGGGGTTGACGTTCGCGTTGGTGAGGGTAATGATGTGTGCGTTGGATGTGGCGTCGGAGTTTTGGTAATTTGGGGATCCACCGACAGTGAGGATCTTGCCGGCAATGGCGTCGTACATGGCTGCGTCACCGCACATCGAGTCGCCGTCTCCGGTTCGCGTGCCTGCGCCTTGCTGGGTGCCGGTGCCAGTGGTGCCGTACCAGTTCATTGCTACGGAGGGGCCGGCTTGGAAGACTGATCCTCCTTTCCAGGCAAAGAGCCATGCGTGGTTGTCGGCACGATAGACACCTAAGGGTGTCAGTTTGGACGTGAGTATTGGGAAGACTCTCATGTACCTTGCGCATCTGCAGTCAGAAGTGGGGCGACGGGCGTGCCGGTTAGGAGACTCCATGTACCTGCGGCAGCATTGTAGAGCTCACCGTTCTTACCGCCTTGACCACCAGACCATGAGGCGCCAATAGTGAAAGTATTGCCAGTTGAGACAGTCAATTGAGCTTGGTAGCCGCGAGCGATTTGCAGAGTCTTTAATGAGATTAATCTTGATGGAAATTAGGACGGGGTTGACTTTGAACTTACATTGGCCTTTGACCAAGTATTTGCGCCACTGTTGTAGATACTGGCAGCAGAGGCTGTGTTACCTCCTGTAGCGATAGCATTACCATTGAAATCCATTGATAAGCCTTCGCAGAACATGTCGTGCATTGTGTTGGTGATAAGAGCCTTCGTGACGGTCTGTGTGCCCGGGAAATATTCGGCTGTGATAGTTTGCGTTCCACTAGCGCCGCCGAAAGTACTAGGATCGAATGAGGACCATGCAAGAATGTTGCCATTGTATATGTTCATTAACGAGACGGGGACTAGCGGGAAGTTGACCGTGTAGCCCCAGGCGCCCTTGCCTGCTGGACTACCAGGAGCCGCCTGCGTTGCTACATTTATATCAATCTCTGCGGCTGAGGACCAAGCACCTCGATTGCCAGCTTCTGTAAGAGCTACAATCCTGAGATAGCGAGCATTTGTTGGGGGAATGGTAGTCACTTTCGTAGTGGCGTCATCGAGGAAAGTCCCATATGCAACTAAGTTGTAGGTGGCCCCGTCGGTACTATGAAGTTTAGTCCAAGTACTCATGAGCTTCTATTTGAAAGACGAACCTGAGATAGATCTGATGCCCGCCAATGTTTCCGTTGGAATTCCCATCTTGACGAGGCTGGTAGAGAATTTGTCCCACGAGATAGGACTGTTTCATATCGATGGTTATCGTATGTGGGAGCGGTGCAACCGTCGGGTTGAATTGAGTGTGCCAGATGGTGTTGGTATTCCCATCTAACGCATTACTGCAAGGGTTGCCAGACTGCTCGCTGTCGTCGGTGCAGGTCCAGCCGGTCTTCGAAACAGCGGCCGCAGCAAGGGCTTGGTTCGATGGTCGCTCTTTGATGTTGGCTAATGATACACCATCAAAAGACGTGACGCCTAGAAGGACAGAACGTTAGACATCGATAGGTATAAATGCACGCGTAGGTTTCTGTAACAAAGTTTCGAGGGCATCAAGGGATGATATACCTTCTGCGGCTGGTTTTCCCTGGATCTACACAAGCCCGTTAGTCATTTGGCGCCACAAGAAGATACATAGGGTTCATTACCGCAGGTGAAATGGAGTTCGCTCCATTGTTGGCGGCCTGGGGCGAGAGTGGTGTCGACTGAATGCATTGCAAGCAGGACAAGAAGACGAGCCACAGCAACATCGTGATTAGATTAATGAGGTAATTGAGATCGTTCAAGGAGACGATCCCTTACCAGAGATTGAAAAATGCAATATTAGAAATTATGGCTGAAGACAGAAAAGATGGAAGGGAAGGCAAAGACATGAATCATATTATACATGCACGAGCGATCATGCATTGACCATGTGGGCTCACGATCCATGGGCCGAGCTTCATTGACACCGCTACTCTAGTTGGGGCCCATTTTTGTAAATGTCAGAATTGTACGCTTTAGGTCGTTCAATCTCCTTTGTGGGTGGTCGATTGAAAGCCACAAGCACGAGGCTAGAGGTGAGCCAGAGTTCATGAGAGGAACTTGTAGCGAAGCTATCCATAACAGGGTAGCCTTGCAAATCATGGAGCTCTCGAAAGTTCTCCTGAGTATGATGAAGACGTCTATAGTTCCTTGAATTGTAATCCAAAGGTGTGGCTGCTGGAATATCAGGCTGGCAGAGGGTAGAAGGAAGTCTTCTAGTCTAGCGTCATGCAAGGCGAATCCACTTCGCGATATTTTGGTCAGCGTGACCTTGGGACCTAATGCAGGTATACGAGGTGTGTACGAATCGGTTTTTAGATATGGATGCAGGCTGCAGGGGAGACTGCAGATGGGAAAGTCGGCATCGCGTGGGGTCGGCATTTTAACGGCGACGGCCCCTAAAAGGACGCACTGGCCCCCCAAACCGAGCCTATGACTGGGCGGCTACGAGCGAGTTGTTCTAGGCTCCTGCGCGTAAGCGAAGCTAAATCCCGCGGTGAACATCACGGCCAGAACCTTGGGAAAGCTTGTTCTTGAACGTCTTGCTATGTGCTCGCTTCTCTGCTTGACATCGACAGCGTGGTGGGCAGCAAGGGAACCCACACACCACACATCTCGCGTCGTGATCCATGCAACCCTCTTCATCTGGCTGGACATGATCATTTCGATAAGAGATCTTGGCAATCCTTGGGAATGGTTCAGGGGCGATTCGCCCAAGACTTGACTGGTAGTTGTGGGGTCTTGACCGCCGGAGTAGCCCGTTGTGGCCTGGCGCTAACATCTTGAAGAACCTTGCGAGGTCCATAGTTTGTGGGCTACCAAACGTGCATCCAACAATACGAAAGTAGTGGCGGGACGTGACGACGCCCTTTCTCTCCGCTTTGTGGTGATTTGGCGTCTTTATTATTGTATGGGAACAGCCATCTTACGCGAACCAACGATATCATCCCCAGAGAGTCTGTGCTGTTTTGGTGTGTCAAATGCCTCAGAAGACCGTGGAAAATGAAGATTTAGTCCGACAAGCAGACAGACTAAGCCGACTTGATGGACAGACGAGACATGAAAACCTTACAATGTGCATCGAGACCCTGAATAATGGCCTTGTCAACGGCGCATTAGATCGCTTATCCTGACGACTGGTGTCTCACTCGCGAGCATTAGCTTCCAATATGCGGCGCCAATCCTCACGTGATGGTGCTGACTTGCTCTCACTCATCTGCCTCCTCATCAGGTCGAAGACAATGCTCTTACTATGCTAAAGAAGCAGCAACGTTCTTGCTCGAGCGATCGAATCGAATGAAAGCATGGAATAAGACGCGGTTGCCAATCAATGCAGCGTTGGGGCGAGGAGGGGGTGTCATATGCCTGACCTGGAGAGCATGTCGTCGCTCTGCATCGAATATACATGTCCGAGGTGGGCCGTAGTCGCTAGCCATGACAGTCATGCAATTTCCGTGCTCTGCAATCTCGACTATTTGAAGTGAATACAATGACAGCCAAGCCTGTAACGGCAGGAATGGCCGGTCCGCGGCGAGATAGCGACAGGCTTTCCCCGCCCTGCCAGTGTCGACTGTGCCCCATTATTCATCCCAACTTTTGGCTTCTTCAAGTCAAGTAGTGGTCAAGTTTTGTCTCCCAAACATTTGATGATGAGTGCCAACCTTGCACTAATGATTCCTTGTCGCGGTACAATGAAATTGGAAGACCATCGAATTGACTTGCAGCACGAGAACAAGTGGCATTTCTGACATCTTTCCAGTGCCCACCATTCCGTAGACACAGCCATCATGACGCTTTGATATCTCCATGATGAAAAGCTCGGATCTTCGGGATGGTTATCGCGTTTGATAATCTGGGAGGAAGAATCACACTGTGGTACGATTGAATGATGTATTTGCACTGTAGTTGTACGCGCTGTGTTGCAATGAAGGGCAGGACAAGCACCGATGACCAGGAGCCCTCCGTTGTAGTCTCATCGCTCAGCTTCCGAATGCGAGTTGGTGGTTCGCATCGTAATTCAGAGTGACATCTGGTCACCAAGTGGCTGCAAATTTCTCGTATCAAGCACGGACTAAGGTTTATCCGCTGCCGACAGAGTCTGCCAAGACTTCCCTCTCCCCCCAGTCGTTCCTCTTTCTCCCTACAACCTCTCATCCTATCTCAACGTCGCTCTGCCAGCTCCTGTAGCGGCAAATGTCCACGGTAGAGCATGGCTCGAGGGCTGTATCCATCGCTCGCGCGGAAAGTCCTCCCTCCTCCGCCGAGTGTCGCGCTCACAATTAAATGCATTTGTCGTCCCTTCGCCTCCTCCTTTGATCGAATGCAGTCCAACTTTACGGCAACGAAGGACCAATACCGAAGTGCAAGGTGCAAGGCTATGAGATATTCGCGTGTATGACACATTGCTGTCATAGCGATTGAAAGAGCCAAAATCATACATGGGCGTGCCCAATCTCAAATGTCTCTGCAGTCAATTGCGTGAATTCTTGAAGGGCCATCCTAAGGCTATGACAAGAGCTCGGATCTCTACAAGGCTGAGGAGTATACTGTGTTGTGCAATTGGTGGCACGTGGCTCGGATTGCATGAAGACTCGGAATAATCGACCTATGGACAGTCAACGGTCTCCGCAGATCCAAGCCGCTGTCAAATCCCATGGCATGTGCCTATGGCTGCATACACCATATGCGAGGAGTCTCTCTGGAACTGAGCCTTCGACCTTTTCATGGTACCGAAGACATGGGTCATTTGACAATGGGGTAGCCTTTTGTGATCTCTATTTCTATGCGCCACTACACTTCCGGCTCATCACAACTTGCAAAGGCTACCGCTGCTCACGTCATGGCATGATCTTTGTTCCGTTAAGTGACCTTGTCGGTGAGGCCGGCGTATGTCTCCAATGCCTCACCTCCCTCTTGCCTGGATGGATGTCCTGTGATTCGCTGGATTCACTGCCGGGCACACCATGTCTGGCCAAACACCCTGCATTTCACTTCTTGGCACCCGAATCGAGATGGAATGTGTTGAGCAAGCGAAGAGGCTAACGCCTTGCAGAACCACGTGCTCTTTGCAGCAATACGAGGCAACCACTACGAGAGTGGTGGTATGTACAAAACGGACATGGTCCCGAAGAGAGCCCGTTGTAGACGCAAGGAGTACTAAGGCTTATGACCACCATGATTTGGATCAATATTGCTCTCATCGCTTCTATCGCAAACAGGGCAGTCCTATCCATCCCGCTCGAACCCAAAGCGCATTCGCTGGATCGCCGAGCCACTTTCAACGAGATCGCAAATGTACGCCCATGCACCCCACCCTTCCCTCGTGTATACCCACTCACAAAAGCTGACCACCGCATCTCCAGTTCGACGCCCTCACCACCAACGCGGCCGTTCCCTTCCCCTACAAACACCTCAAATACACTCTCCTCACCGTCCAAAGTCCCATCTCTGGCGGCCACACCCGCCGCCTCACCCCCTTCACCCTCCCCAACTACGCCGTCACAGCGCCGGGACAAGGACAGATCGGCACCGACGTTCCCTCCCTCGATATCACTGGAACAACGACTACGAGCTTTGATTTCTACGACTTCTATTATGCGTGCCTTGATGCTAGGCCAGGAAAGAAGCAGGTTCCCGTGAAGTGCCAATTCACGGTGCAAGGGCTGAATGCGGGTGATCTGTCGGGCATAGGCCACCAGGGGCCGTTTCTTGTCACGTACACACCGGGGAATGGGACGGGGCTGGGGGTCATGAGCAGGCAAGAAACGAATTTCAGGGCAATCAGAAGGGTGTATTGGGCGCTATACATGAGCGATGCGGGGTTGGCGAACACGATTCTGGTGTTTGATCGGTTATATTATACGGCGTACACAGCTTGAGGATACTGAGATTGGCGAGGTTGCGATGAACTTTCGTGAACAAGCATATCATCGTTGTACTCAGAAGTACAAATCGTTGGTTTGGAGGGCAGGCAGACTTCGGGACGCTCGGATGGATGTGACTAGAGAAATAACGAATAACGAATGCAAAACGGTGACGGCCACTGCTCCCTTGATCCCTGTGTCCACTACTTCATGCCTTCCGATAAATCGATCGTTGGCTACTGTTGGGCCACCGAAACTTCGCCACGAATATCTCACCGAGGGTCTTGCACCAGATTATCGTCGCATTCCGCGCACTGTCGCCCCAACAGCGCAATGGACGCAACGTACATCGAATCTATGAGGTGAG